GCAAAGTCTTATTACATGCACATTGTCACGGTCACGGTCACGGTCCTCCCATTGTTCATCGATTTGCTCGAGTGGGCCCAGTAACATCTCCATCATGAGACTTGTTGTTACTGTGTTTGGCATATCGAATATGTCACGGGTAGCTTGCCAAGCTCTGCCGTGCGGGCGAGATACTCTCGGTAGCTTGCCGGGCTCTCTGAGAGGGGCGGAGGAATCAAACTCGGGTCGGCCATGTTGGCCGCTTGTAAGGCAAATACCCTACCGCTGTGCTATCGCTCCAGCCCATGCACATTGTACATACTCTAATAGGCTAACAGCTGTGCCTTCAGAAAGTTTAAAGGACCTAGAATCACGGATTATGTTCTTGACCACTAAGGATTTTAATTATAAGTCAATAACAATAACATATTTAGGAGAACTTAAAAAAATTAAAATTAATCTTCTGAATAACCCATGGGTCAAAGGGGGGAAAAACAATAGGTATAGGGAGAGAAAAAATACTTCAAATGGAATGATACTGTAATATTACATCAAATGTGGGTGTAGCCACAGTAGTCAGGAGGAAATTTATGTCTTTGAGTGCTTCTAAGGGAGAAATGGCACAAGAATTAGCAGCAAGCCAACCTCCCCACTGGAGTGTGGCCAGAAATGGACTGTAAGCCAGAGACCCGCAGCAGCCCGAAGCCTGAGAGACCGGGCACCTCTTCCTGGGGCAGCAGGGGCAGTGCATGGAACAGGAGGATTGGGTTTGAGGTGAGCGTCTGTGCCTGACCTGTGCCGGCTCCCTCTGCATTAGAAGACCAGGCCCTGCAGCAGAGGACAGCTGTTGGCATTGTAGTCCATAGCTTCAGCCACCATCTGGGCGTGCTGGCGGAAACTGCTGAGTGCTGGGGTCCTCGGCTGGTGGCAGTTAGTTCAGCAGAGATCAGAGTGCAGACTGTGTCAGGGATGGAGGCAGAGGAGCTGCTGGAGCTTTCCCTCTGGGTGGTACTTCCCAAACCCCACAGTGGCAACACTGTGACTCCAATAAATGGGGTCAAGCATTGGTCTTTCATCTTAGTCTTTACCAGTGCCCTGCCCCTCCCCATTATGGCCTTGGATAAAGAAATTCATTAGTAAAGCCACAGCGCCACCTGCAGAAAAACAAAGGAAGCGAACCCAGAAACAGTTCTGGAAATGTGAAAAAATAGATGGACTTTTTCAGAGAAACAGGTCTCCAGATGGCAAACTTAAATTAGACAGAAAATTGGGGATCGTAACAGACATAGAATCATAGCATACCTTAAACCCAGAAAATCTCAGCCAGAGAAATAAGTTCTGTGTCTCAGGAAAGAGATACCTTGAGGCAGGAGCGATAGTACAGGGGTGGAGTGTTTTGCCTTGCCATCCCATATGGTGCTCAGAGCACTGCCAGGAGCAATTCCTGAGTGTAGAACCAGGAGTAAGTCCTGAGCATTGCCATATGTGATCCCAAAAACAAACTTGCAAAAAGATACCAGACACAAAGCTTCACCGAGGAGACTAAAGACATTCAGTGCTCCAGAGATCCTGGGCATGAAGACACTCAGAAGTGCAGTCTAAGATGGAAAATGGTACGAGTGAACTCGGTGTCACAGAGGAAGGAGATCCAAAACAGAAGGTAAAATCACAGCAATGACTCCAAAAAAGCAGAGCAAGGAGCTTGATTTAGGAAAAATGAAGAAGCTATTGGAAGTAGCAGACTAGACTCAGATGGGTAAATATCAGAACCATGGGCATTCCAGAGGTGGGTGTGGGGAGAGAGAGAGAGAGAGAGAGAGAGAGAGAGAGAGAGAGAGAGAGAATAGAGACCAATATCCAAAGAAATAACAAACAAGGGCATCCCAACTTTCCCTTCACTAGGGAAAGCCATCCACATGAAAAGACAGACAGAATGAGGTACAAAGATCACAAAACTATAATCTATAATCTTCCTGCATTAACATATGCCTCAGAGACCTGGGCCCTACGCAAACAAGATGAGAACGCCATTCAGGTCTCCCAAAGAAGAATAGAAAGAGCTATGCTTGGAATATCACGTTTCACTCAAATGAGAGAACGAATCCGGAGTTCTGACATCCATCAACGATCAAGGATCAGGGACGCTGTCTCATTTGCCAAGGTGTCGAAAATCAGATGGGCTGGTCACGTAATGAGATTTAAAGACGACCGTTGGACTAGAGCTGTTACTGATTGGATTCCACGGGATGTCAAGAGACCGCGTGGCCGCCCACCTACCAGATGGTCAGACTTCTTTGTCAAGGTCATGAACGATCGGTTTGAGGCCCTCCATGTTCCCGGAGCGAAGAGATGCCATTGGGCTACACTAGCACGCGACAGGGACAAATGGAGACGTTACTGGCGCCCGCTCGAGCAAATCGACGACTAACGGGAAGTTAAGTGATTAAGTGATTAAGTGATAAACAGAAAACAAAAGATAGAGTGGTAATTAGTACCCCCCATATATCAGTAACCACTCTGAATGTGAATGGCCTGAACTCATCAGTTACAATCAAACATAGAGTGATTAGTTTTTTTAAAGCAGGCCCCACCCATACATGGTGTGTGTACCAGAGTCTCAGAGATCGATATGGGCTCAGTGAAATGGTGTAGCTCATGTTCTAAAACAGGGATGGAAAGAGCATGCAAGGGCTAAGGCACCCCAGCCTAATTCAGTCGCTCCCACCACATGACTTCCAAGCACTTCCAAGGTGCAGCCCCGGAATCGTCCCAACACTGCCAGGGTGGCCAGGTAATCCCTGGCACCCCAGTGCCTGAGCAGCTCCACATCCTCAGGCCGTAGTGCTGAGAATCACTAGAAGTGGCCCCAGGGTCCCCTGAGTACTGCACCAGCACACGCACACACACACACACGTATGCACACACACATGCACGCATGCACACACACAGAAAAGCAGCAGACCAACTTCTCTGATGAACATAGATGCAAACTCAACAAAATCTTGGCCAAGTCATTTCTAAGAAATTTGATGGTAGAAAATTTTGTAAGCACACAGTAAGAAAATTATTTATTGTAACCAAGTGTGATTCATCTCAGGGATTCAAGGATAATTCAACATACTCAATATACCACATTTTTTGGTTTTGTTTTGGGTGGGGATCACACCTGGCCATGCTCAGGGGCTATATGTAGCATCAGGGATTGAACCTGGGTTGGTTGGCCATATGCAAGGCCTCCTATCTGCTGTACTATCACTCCGGCCTGCACTTAATTTCTTGTTATGCACATTGAGAAAATTATTTTATTGTGACCCACTGGGATTCATCCCAGGGATTCAAGGATAGTTCAACATACTCAAATCAATTAATGTGATATACCACATTTGGGTCATGGGGGTTGGGCCATACCTGGTAGTGCTTAGGGTGACAAGACATTGATAAGACATTGAACTAAGGCATGCATCTAAACCTCTGTACTACCTCTCTTCACCCTATACCACATCTTTTTAGCTAAAGAAAAATATTATCATTCAGGACATCCTGGAAAAGCAATTGACAGGGTTTAGCACCCATTTATGATAAGAACCCTCAATAAATTGGGAATAAGAAAAAACATGCCTTTCATGACACATGTGGCCACAGCTAATGTTGTACTCATGAAAAATTGAAAGCTTCTCCCCTCCAAAATAAAAGCAAGAACAGGTGCTGGAGCAGTAGCACAGCCGGTAGGGTGTTTGCCTTGCATGCGGCTGATCCGAGTTCGATTCCTTGCATCCTATATGGTCCCCTGAGCACTGCCAGGGGTAATTCCTGAGTGCAGAGCCAGGAGTAACTCCTGTGCATCGCCAGGTGTGACCCAAAGAGAAAAAATAAATCAAGAACAATAAAAGGAAGTAGGTTTATTCGCCTTTTTTTCCCCCAAATGAAGATATTTACTGTTTCAGACTTATTTGCTTAAAAAATAGATAAGTAAGCCTCAGAAAGAGGGGAGGGGTGTGTACATAGCTAACATACAAAGATCTGGTAAATTTAAAATAGACAACTGATTAAACCAGGTGGCCAGCAGATGTGAAGAGACACTTCACAAAAGATACCTGTGAAGACAGATGAACACAAGAGGTAATGCTGGTGGTCACCATGCTTAGCAAAACATAGAGTTCACACCACGGATATGGTGGTGCCCACTGGCTATAGAAACACGTGGGGTGACCCTATTGCATTGTCTTGGGTGGTGTCATAACTGTGCTTTAATGCACAAACCTTGCTGAAAGTCTGCCTTAGGGCCCGAGCTCTTCCCCACCTCCAGTGCAGCCTATTTGACATTCTGGAGTTTGGGGTTTGTCTGGGCCACACCCAGCAGTGCTCAGGTGCTCTTTCTGGCTCCTGACACTGCTTAGGGAACCATGTGGTGCCAGGGTCAGCCACATGCATAGTGGCTGCCTTAGCCTCTGCATTGTCTCCAGCCCCAGGGGTTGGCACTTTGGCATTCCATCTGCCCGCCCACCATGTCCTTGACCTACCAGGTCTCTGCTGTAGCAATGTCAGTTCTGGTTGGGACACTTGTCTTGTCCCCATGGTACATCTGGTGACTCCTCTGTGCCCAGTGTGGAGGTGGCAGAGACAACAGCCCAGAATCTGCACTGGCTGGCCCACACCTCACATCTGCCCCTAGGGTGACCTGACTTGGGCGAGTAGGCCCGTCTGCACTCTGGCTCTTTCTCTCCAAATCCCATTTCAGCAGAGTATGTCAGCAGGGAGTACATCCTTCCACATGCTGATCCCAGCCCTCCAGTCCCCTGGCCCAGGCTGAGCCCTTGCCAATATCAGTGTTGCAGTGACCAAGTGGGTTTCCTCAAACATCTTGTTTTGCAGGTCCACTGGGCTGGCTAAGGCTACCATTCTGAGAACTGGCAGGAGCACCTGCATGTCGGAAGCTCTCGTGCTGGAGGGTCAGACCTGCACTGGAAGCCACCATCCCCATCCACCCCCAGCACCCTCTCCCCACAGACCCTGCACCCGGGACATGGCACTCCAGCATGTGGTCCTCCTGGCTGGCCTCCTGGCGGAAGTTGCCAGCAAATCCTCAGCAAGTGTGGTAGGTTGGGGGGGGGGCAGTGGGATGAGAAGAGAGACAGATCCTGTGGGGGACAGTATGTGGGGGGGGGCAGGGTGGACTCTGGAGAGGTGAGGTGACCCCACCCTGGCCAGCTCCTGGGACGTCTTCCCTCTGACTTCAGGGTATCCCTGAGCACTGTGGAAAGTGCTCCCCCGTCAGCTGCTCAGTCAGTTCTGCATGTTAGAACCTTCTTTGTGTCTTTGCCACCCGGGTTCTGTCCCTGTGACAGAAATAGGGTCTTGGCTGAGCTGCCCACCATCACTGGGATGAGGCAGGGCCGTGGGCATCAGGAGGAGCTCCTGGTGGTGGGGGGGAGGGTCTCTTGCTGACTCTGCCATATGAGCCACATGGCTGCTATCTCCCCTGCAGGGCCAGCAGCCTGAGTGTTGTGTGGCCACGCTGGACACCAATGCCACTTGCCCGGGCACAAGCCTGTGTGGCCCAGGTAAGTGGCTCCACACGTGCCAGCATTGACCTCTGGCCCCTCCTGCCCCAAACCCCCCCCCCCCCCCCCCCCCCCCCCCCGTGCAGCCCTGTGTGCAGGGGCCGGGGGCTGATGGCAGGGTCAGTGGAAGCATATGGGACACAGGCCTGGGAGGGACTGTGGCTAAGCTGACCCAGGATAGGCCACAGGAGACACGGGAGCCTTGTACTGAAGAAGAGTCAGAGGGACAAGCAGTGTTGAGCTAGCCACCGAGTGGGTCTGTGATGTTGAGGCTTCCTTGCGGAATGGAATGCAGGAGGGTCCCCACAGAGGGGAGCGAACCAGACAGCAGAGGGTGGAGGCAGGAGGGGACATTGTGTCAGGCCCTGATGGAATGGGGAGGGCTGGGGCTCACCCTCCCCTCAGAGTGAGAACCCGGCCTGCTTCCTACCTGAGGGCTACCTGTGCAGCTCCTGCAGTTGCTGACCTGCTCCCCCACACCCCTGCATGCTTGAGCACCAATGGCCCCTCCCCTGCAGCCCTGATTGCTTCAGCCTCGATGGCCCCTCCCCTGCACCCTGCATGTGCCCAGGTTGATGGCCCCTCCCCTGCCTCCCACAGGCTGCTACAAGCTCCCCAGTGAGGATGGAAATGCCAGCTGTGTGCAGTGCAATGGGACCTTTCTGGCCAATGGCTCCGAGTGCAGAGCCTGTACGTCTGACCCCTGCCCTGTGTCCCCCTGGTCTACCCACTCACTGCAGCGGTGGGTGAGGCCTGCATGCTTCCTCTCTTTTTCATCATTTAAAAAAAAAATTGGGGCTACACCCGACTGTGCTCAGGGCTTTTTCCTGGCTCTGTGCTTAGGGAATCACTCCTGGTGGGGCTCAGGGGACCCATATGGGATGCCAGAGATGGAACCTCGGTCAGCCGCGTGAAAGCCACACGCCCTCCCTGCTGTGCTATGGCTCCAGCCCCCTCTGGCCAGGTTGTGTCTCTGGCTTCCCGAGGGAGCATGCAGGACAAGCAGAGGACATGTGTGGAGTCCCATGCATGGCCGGGACTTGCCCACAGAGCCATGGTGCTAAGTCAGCTCTGTCCCCCAGCCGCTGGCCAGGACGGACACTCCCCAGGGAGCCAGAGCACAGCAGCACCCAGGCAGCTGGACCTCGGTGAGTGTCTAGGCTGAGGAGGCCAGGGCAGGGATTCTGCCAGGTCCTGAGGTAGCGGCAGGCACCAGCTTAGAGTGCCACAGTGGGGTCACATCCATGGTCTCCATCAGACTCAGCCAGCCAGACACTGTGTGTGACAGACCTGTGTGTGGATGGGGAGGCTGGCCCTGCGGTCAGCATCAGCCCTGACAGAGGCTTCCCGCCTGCCCTGCCTGCTTCTGGTTGGCAAGAACCCTGCAGAACTCAGCAGATTGTGGGGAGTGCAGTCTCCAGTTCTGCAACCGCCCCCTGGCAGTGTGACTCTCCCTGCAGGCGGTCCTCAGGTGGCAGCCTCCCTTTTCCTGGGCACCTTCTTCGTCAGCTCCGGCTTCATCCTTGCCGTGGCCGGGTGGTTCTACCTCAAGCGCGCCAGTAAACTCCCCAGGGTCTTCTACAGAAGAGACAAAGGTATTCCCAGATGCCACTCAGCCAGACGCGCCCAGCACACACCCCACGCCAGACCTCAGGTGCAGGCTGAGGGCCACCCAGAAGTGACCCGGGGCCTGCATGACAGCCTGGTCCCCACCCAGCGGGGGCTCCTCTCTCTGCCCTTGTTCTTGTTGCACAGTGAAGCAGGGATGGGCATGAGCTGGAGCCCTGACCCCAGGGCTGGGTCGCTGCCTCTCTGCTCCTTCCCTCCACAGTGCAGGGGCTCAGGGTCAGGACAGGACAGCTGGGCCTTCAGGTTCTTGTCTGTGAGGAGGTGGTGCAGCCCCTCCCCTGTCCCCACGGAGACACAGGACCAGAAGTGAAGGATCAGGCCCTAGGGTGGTCCCTCCCATGGGGGCGGGGGCAGGCGAGGCAGCCAGGTGGGAGGGGTGAGCCTGCAGACCCCCACTGGAGGGGAGGAGACCCCTGTGGGGCCCCCTGACAGTGTTGTCCTTTTCCACAGCCCCTGCCCTGCAGCCTGTGGAAGTGGTGAGTGACCCAGCACATCCCTGTGCTGTGCTGGCCCCGTCCCTGGCCCTGACCTCTCTGGGTCCCTGTGTTCCTTGTGTCCATGTGGGGCCCCCATGTCCCCACATTCACTCTGGGCCTGTTCTCCCTGTGTCCATACTAGGCCTATTCGCGTGTCCACATTTTGCCTCATGTCCCTGCATCCACGTTGCGCCCCCACATTCCTGCATCCACACTGGGCTTGATGTCCCTGCGTCCACACTGGGCCCAGTATCCCCGCATCCACTGTAGGCCCCTGCGTCCCTGTGTTCACACTGGATTCCCTGCATCCCTGATGGACTACCATATCCTTTGTACTGTGCTGTCACTGGCCCTCACACTTCCTCTTTTCCTTTCAAGGCTGCGATGAGCTCCTCCCCGCGGTCCTCAGGTACGTCCACCCTTTCTGTCCCTCAGTCGGGCCTTTCTCATCTCTGGTAGCTAATTCAGAGCATAGCCCATGATGCTTCATGGATGTGTGTCTTCCCAGGCTGCCTGGGGTGGCACAGGGACAGGGACGAGGCTGGGCAGGCTGGACACTGGCCAGGCCCCATCCCCACCCCACCTCTGTGCCTTGACCCTCATCCCTGTGACAAGAGCTGGTGAGGCTGTGAGTGGGGATGCTTCCCAGAGCCCCTGGGTGGCCACTGTCCTTTCTGATCTGGCATGGACCCTCGAGTCATGCCGGAGAGGTGCGTGGCCAAGGTGCCATTGATGCTGCTGTAGGGCAGGGGTGCCACCACCTTTTGCAGCCTTGCGGGGCTGGGACTCAGCTCTCCTGCCACTGTCCACGGCAGAGCTGATACAGCTCCAGGAAGGCTTCTCAGGCCTGGGCCTGCAGCCTCTGTCTGCAGCTCTTGCAGAGTCTGTACTCACCATCTCCCTCTCAGAAAACCAGAATGCTCGGTGGGAGGATCATCTCAGGGTCCTTATGCACCCCTGCAAAGACCCTTTCTCCAGTGAGGCCACGTTCACGTGGGCCCCTAAGTGCATTGTGTGGCCCGTGCCTGTTTGGAAAGCTGGTTCCCACCCGCCCACCTGGCATCTGCACTCCTCACTAGCCGCCACCTGCCCTCAGTGCTGTGTGTGGCTGGGTGCCATGGCCTGGTTCTGACGTCTCTCTCTCTGGCTCTCCAGTGCGAAAGCCTCGCTATGTCAGGCGGGAGCGGCCCTTGGATGGGACCATGAACCCCACTGCCATCTCCTTAGAAGGGGCCCGACTCAGCGATGTCTGACAGACCGGCAGCTTCACACTGCATCTTGTGGCTTCGGGACAGACCTGGATGTGGCCCAACTCAGCTTGTCTACCTCACACCGATGGTCCCCCTTGCTTTCTGCACCCTGCGCCCCTGCAGGAAGAGAGGCCAGATCCGGGTGTTCCAGATGGTGACACCCTGTCCAGGCTGCATAAGCAAGCAAAGTCCTTGTTTTCCTCTGACCTGATTGTATGCAGAAGTGGATTTTATAGAGAAGTTGAGTTCTTCTCTGCTCCACACCTGAGCCCCGTTGCCAGGCCCAGGACAGTGCCTCAGCTGTAGGAGCATGGCATGTGGCTCACATGGGCTGTGACCACAGACTGCAGCCAGGAGGACATCTGCCTCCAGCATCGCTCCCTGGACGCCCTCCCTGAAGCTCTGCAGCCTGGTGGAAGGGAGGCAGAGCAGGGCTGTGTCCCCCCAAGCCAAGGTCACTGTGCCAGGACTGATGGTGAAAGGAAGGAGGAAGGAGACAGTGCCTCAGGACAGCAGCCCGGTGAGGGCTAGCCCCAGTGCCTCCTGCCATGAGACATGCTGCCGCCTTCCCCCAACCCTGTTACCTCTGGGAGGGCTCCAGATCACTGCAGGCCCTTGAGTACAGAGAATCAAGCCAGTCTCCGGATCTGAACAAGACAGGAAGTGCAAAGTCACCCCTGCCAGGCCAGAGAGATGGACCCTTTCCAGTGGCCCTCCCAGGGCTACAGCCTGGAGGCCCCTCACCCTCCTGTGACCCCCTCCCCCAGCTCCAGCCCTGCCTTACCCTATTGGCAGTCTCAGTACCATGCATACTGAATGTGACCCCACCCTCACCCTGATTTGAAGCCCCCCAATCCCACATCAGCCCTTGCTTTGCCTAAACTTTGACCTGACTCTTGGGGATGGCTCAGCCACTCTGGCATCTCTGAGCTAACAGGATGGGGCAGCCAGCCCTGCTGGCCCTCATCTGCTGGTGTCTAGCTCAGAAGGCAGGTGGGTGATAGTGTGGAGTGAGGGCATTAGGTGGAGCAGGGGCAGGAGGGGCCAGAGAGGAGGAGAAGAGCACAGTGGGGAGGTGGGGAAGGGCATAGGGGGCCAGAGGGAGGTGGAGAAGGGCATGGGGGGAGTAGGGTAGGGAAAGGGTGTCTGTAGTGGGGGCCTGCTCAGCCCCACCCGTTTCACTCCCCCCGCCCGGGCCCCCCACCACCTCTTCCCTGGAGACTCAGTGCTGTGAGAGTGAAGTGAGCCATCAGCTGAGGTCAAGGCAGGAAACCGGGTCTGTTCCTCCTGACCCCCTCCCAATTTCTGGGTGTCAGGCCCTGGGGCCCTGGTGAGTGGGCTGTGAGGTAGTCCCTCCCTCCACTCTGGAAGCAGAAGTCAGGTGAGAAGCCTGTTAACTGGGTGCCCACAGCTGAGGAGGGGAGTGATGGAGAAGGTCCTGGCCAGGGTGTGGCGTGAGCACCAGGTAGGCTGACCACCAGGTGTCCAGAGTTGCCTCGTGCTGTGCCCACCCCTGTGTGGCCCCACGTATTCTGTCCCCAGTCCCGGGGGTGGGGAGACTTGGCAGGCTGGGCCTCTGACAGGGTCCTTATCTGGGCCGGTTGCCATGACAAGAGCAGCAAGTTTCAGGCTGGCTGTAGGCAGGGACATAGGTACACATACCACCAGGGTCACCTGGGCACAGAGCACCATAAGGGACCGAGCGAGAGGGAGGGGCATCGCCCCGCCTGTTACATTCCTCAGTGCTGTCCCTTTGCCTCTGGCACTGACGCTCCCATGAGAACCACGGTGACCTCAGAGCTCAGCCATTCCCCGGAGCCTTTGGAGGGGAGGCTGTTCACAGAGCACAGGGATCAATCGGAATCAACCTTCCAATTCCTCCTCACTCTCCAGGACCCAGACGGCAGCTTGGGACCCTGAGTCAGGATGCCCAGGGAGCCAGAGCCCACACTTGAGGCTGGCCCCACTGTGCGGACCCCAGGGCTGCAGTACCTGCCTGATCCTGAGTGATCCACAGTGTTGCCAGGGCCCACCCAGAAGAGCAGGTTCTTCTTGGTGGCCTCCAGTTCCTAGTCACTCTCCTATTGTGGAAAGGTGGGGCAGTCTCTGCAGTAAAAGACCTCCGGAACCCCATCTAGTGCCCTCAACCCTCCATTCCATCCCCCCTTGGTCCCTCCGTCCCACCCCCCCTCATCCCTCCATCCTGTCCTCTCAGTCCCTCCATTCCATCCCCTCAGTCCCTCCACCCCATCCCCTCTGCCCCTACATCCTGTCTTCAGTCTCTCCATCCCACCCTCTTAACCTTCCTTCCCGTCCCCTCAGTCCCTCCCTCCGTTTCCTCAGTCCATCCCGTCCCCACACCCCTTCCATCCTGTCCCCAGTCCATCCATCACCGCATTTCCTCCGTCCTGTTGTCATAATCGCTCCTTCCCATCCCCTCTGTCCCTCATCCCATTCCCTCAGCTCTCCATTCCCTTCCCCTCAACTTTTGTCCTTTCAGCCCCCTTCATCCTGCCCTCTTAACCCTTTAGTGCCCCCCTGGGCCTCTCTCCTGTTTCTGTTCAGCTACCCACCCTCCCGTCTTCCAGCCCTCAGACTGAACTGCCCACACACCCTTTACCCCTGGAGCTTCCGGAACTCTGCCAGTTGCTTTCTTAGCCTCCTGTGTCCCTGACGAGCAGGGACTTGAGGATGTGTCTGGAAGGTGCTTCCCTGGAGTGGGTCCTGGGGCTCAACCTCACCAGAGCCTGCCCCTTGGGGTGCTCCCATTCTTCTAGGTAGAGTGAGGGTTTCCTCTGCCCCTAGAGGCTGTAGGAGATGCAACAGGTCCACAAATAATGGAGGTGTGTATGGCAGGTGGTGCTGGGACAGAGCTGCCCAGAACAGGCCACCCACTGGGCTGAGCTCTCTGGAAGCCACTGCACACTTAGGATAGTATCCACAGAGCTGGACCTGGGATGCTGAATGGAGATTTCTGGAGGGGCCACAGGCTAACCTGCCAGAGCTGCCTTGGCGGGCTCTGACTCGCCTTGCTCACACCTGGAGAGGGCGGGCCAATCCCAGGGCCCCAGGCCGCACCCCTGGGCTCATGACCTCAAGCATATAAATACTCCTGCCGGGAGCCCACGCCCAGACAAGTCACACCTGCCACCTCGCCTGAAACACCACACGCACCCCTGGCTGCCCAGCACAGAGCAGAGGACGAACCTGAAGGCCAGGGCCACCGACACTGCTGGTGTTGGCTGTGCTGAGGGTCACCTGCCTGCTGCAGGAGAGGCCCTCCAAACTGGCTACTGGGAGCATGCCTAGGCCCTGCTGACCTCCTCACCAGGTAAGACCACTTTCTGGCCCTGACCTTACAGGCTTGGAGCCACCTCCTGAGGATGGGACCTCAGTGCCAGGACATTGGCTCTTGTGGGATGCCCCAGCAGACCCCTAGACTCTGCCAAGTCCCCAAGTCCCCTACAGGCCCACAGGCACTGCTCTGGGACAGAGGGCCACCTCGTGACATGACACGGGGCATGTGTGATGTCACAGTGACAACACCACAACTCATGCAGTAAGTCCTGACGGTGCGTCACTGTGTAGTCACCTACACTGGTCAGGGTCAGGCTCCTCTGAGCTTCCTGAAGGAATTAGCCTCTCCCCTTTCTTCGCCCAGACAGGGCTGATTGTACAGGGAGGTGTGGGCTGGCAAGATGGGGTACGGGCCCCTGAGCAGGGGTGCAGGGAAATGGGGCTCCTGGGTGGGACGTAAAGGAAGAGAGTGGATGCTTCCTGCTACCCACCCCCCCCACACACACACACAACACCTCCATAGCCAGTGCCCCAGTGTGGGCTTCCAGGCACAGCTGGGAAGACCCTCACAGATTTCCCCCGTAGGCCCCAGACTGGAGCCTGACCTTCAGCCTGTGGCCTGGTCCCCGCAGATGGAACATGTGTGCCCACCCAGAGTGGGTTCCCCGTGGGTTCCCCCTGGATCTTCTGTATCAATTCTGGCACCTGGGACTCCTGATCTCTGGGCTAGGTGGCCTGGCTCCAAACTGCCTTTCTGCAGTGGTCTCTGAGAGGTCTAGCTGTGACCCAGTGAGGCAGGAGTCTACTGTAGGCCCTTGTCACCATCCCTCCCCACTCTGCCATGAGGGCAGGACAGCAGGGACATCCCACACACAAAGACATGATGCCCCTCAATCTTGAGCTCGCCGGCCTATGCAGTTGCAGGTCACACATCCCAACTGTGGCATTGTCCCTTCTTGATCAGGGTCCAGTGCTGGCAAAGGGACAGAAAGCAGCCGGGTGGCTGCAGGGTGGGGTCATCTTTGGTCACTCACAGTGGTCTCTGTCCCACAGCCCAGAGCCATGTCCGCAGGCCAACAGGTGTGGCACACGGCCATGCCACCCAACAGCCAAAGAAGCCCCACAGCCTCAGTGCCCAGGTCCCCCAGCTCCTCCGGCAACCCCCGTTCCCCCGGCTCCTCCAGCAACCCCCGGTCCCCCGGCTCCTCCAGCAGCAACCCCCGGTCCCCCGGCTCCTCCAGCAACCCCCGGTCCTCTGGCTCCTCCAGCAACCCCTGGTCCCCCGGCTCCTCCAGCAACCCCCGGTCTCCCGGCACCTCCAGCAACCCCCGGTCCCCTGGCTTCTCTGGCAACCCCCGGTCCCCCAGTACACCTGGCTCAGAGAGGGTGGCCTCTCCTCTGGAGTGCTCCATCTGCTTCTCTGGCTACGACAACATCTTCAAGACCCCCAAGGAGCTGTCCTGCACCCATGTCTTCTGCCTAGAATGCTTGGCACGGCTGGCAGCTGCTCAGCCCACAGGTCGCCCTGGTGGTGAAGCTGTGCCCTGCCCATTCTGCCGGCAGCCCACAGCTGTCCCAGCCGCCGGGGCTCCAGCACTGCGCACCAGCCGCCAGCTGCAGGCCAAGTTGCCAGCACACCTGCGGCAGGAGGAACCTGTGTGGCTGGAGGGGACCAGGCTGTGCTGCTGCCCCCCGCCCTCTGCCCCTGGCCTCGCCGCTCCTGGCTTCGTGTGTGTGGACGTGGGTCTGAGCAAGCCGGCTGAGCCCCCTGCACCCATGCCGACCCCGGGCCCTGCCCGCCGCCCGGGTCGCCTGGCCCGCTGGTGGGCCCGCTGTGGGGACTGGAGGCGCCTGGCACTCATCACAGCGCTGCTGCTCCTGCTGTTCTGCGTGGTGCTCTGGCCTGTGCAGTGCGCGCTCAAAACCGGTAACCTGCGCTGTCTGCCACGGCCGCCTGCGCGCACCACCACTGCAGCTGCCACCGAGGCCACCTTTTCCCTTGGGCCCCGGGCCCGCAGCTAGGGTTGCCCACTGCACAGCACGGGCCAGCAGCCTGCCCACGTTCCTCCAGGAGTTAGGAGGAGCCCCAGCATCTCTGAGGACCCCACTTCTGTGGGTCCCCAGCACCCTGCTGTTGTGTCCCCCAGGGCTAAGCATTGCAGGCTTTTGTGGATTCTGAGGGCATAGATGCCACCCACAGTGGGAAGCGGGCTCAGGAGACAGCCTGTGGGCATGAGGGAGGGATTAACCCTGACTGCATGTTCTTACAGAGTGCTCCCCTAGACCCCCCGGCCTGGTCCCCTCAGCAGGGAGTAGAGCGGGAGCAGGGTGGGAAGAGGAGGCCCAGCCTCTCCTGACTTGTACATTTCTAAATAAATCTTTTTGTATCCATGTTTTATAAGCGGTTTTACCACATTTTCTTTCTTCCTACCCCACCACACCTGTGCCCTCCCTTCAGGGATATCTCAGCAGGCTCTGATTCCAGCTGCCCCAGGGGAGTCCAGCTTCCCTGCTGACCATTCTGCCCTCTCTGGATTCAACATGGATTCCCCATGTCATGGAACTGCTCCAGGAAAACCGGTGGTGTGGGAGGCAAGTTCTCTTCATGCCTCACTCTTGGTCACCTTGAGTCACCCCCAGGCAGTCATGCCCCCCTAGCCATGCTGACTGGAATCACAAACCCCGGGGCCCCTGGGAACTGAGGCCTAAGGGTGCATGGAAACAGACAGGCCACCCCACCGCACAGTGCTGCAGCCAAACCCCACCCACTGCACCCCGTTCTGAGACCAGCCCCAGGAATCCTGCACCACCAGGTCGGTGTGGAGGAGAGGCCAGGCAGGTTCTGGCTCAGGCAGGTCTCTGCTTCCTCAGCCTTACCCCAAGCCCAGATCTTCCTGCTCCAACTTGTGGGCTGTGGTTAGGGTGGGGAGGGACGCAAGCATGCTGAAGAAATGGCCCAGCAGTAGAGTTCTGCTCCAAGCCCAGCACAGATTTGGAACAGCCAGTAAGCCACTTTCCTGACGACACCAGGAAACCCCAGGTCCCCTTGGCCACATGCCAAGGCCATTACCTGTCATAGTCATGGGGACCTCACGGGCAGGGCTAGGCCCAGGAGAAGGCTGCACACTCCCTCATGTGAGCGTCTCACACATTCCCTCATCCAGCAAACATTTCCCCAGCAGTGATGGCGCCATGAAGTCCAGGCCTGGCATGCAGAGACTGAGCCACAGCTGGTTACATCCCAGGCACTCCACTCAAGTCACAGATGTCCAGTGAAGCCACAGACTGACCACACTGCTCACTCCTGCCACATGTATAGGTGGGCATTCAAATACATGCCTGGGATCACACATGGTCACTCCACTGTGCAGGGGTCCTTGGTGGTCACAGGCAGCACGCCTAGAGTCAAACCTAAACCTGCCTCCCTCTATTCTCACTGAAGATCTGAGGGGGGCAAAGTGCCCAGTCCCTCTAGTGCCCCTTCTGGTTTGTAGCATCCAGGCCTGGTTAGGGAGAACCAAGGTAGACTCTGGGAACCTTCTCCCATCTCTGGCACAAGCTTCTGTCATTTTTTCCCCAAACGTGAGCCTCTGCAGGTCCACCAAGACAGCCTGTGGAGACTCGAGACCCCTTCAAGTCCAACTTGCTGACAGGCTTCTGGAGTTCTGGTGGTGACTGGGTTCGGCCAGTACCACTGTCTCTGCCCTGGCTCCCCACTTTCTTCTAGAATACCCAGGTCATAAGTGGAAAGCCTCGTATAAGAGGAGGTGCCTCTGCTCACCAGGTGAGACTCACATCTCTCTTGCTCACCTTGGCTCACCCTGCATGCACCAACATCGGGTCTGCACCCTCCCATCATGCTACCACTGCACCAGCTGGATCATCTTCCTGATAAACAAGCATTCAAGAAGCCAGGGGCGGGACTATATATTTGGGGCGGGGTCAGATGGGAGGGGATAGACCAGAGAGATGGGAGGGATTAGACCAGGGGGCGAGGTCTGTAGGAGGAGAGGCGTTATGCCAGAGGGGTGGGGCCTGGCGGAAGGGCGGGGCCAGCCCAGAGGAGGGGTTTGGGCAGAGCTCAGCTGTGGCCAGACCATGTCATGCAGTGTGTGGATGGAATGGAAATAGCAATGACATGGCAGGGAGTCCACCAGTGACCAGGGAGGCCTGTGACGAGTTCTCCCAGGAAAGTCCTAATCTCCGTTTCCGTCCACAGCACACCTGGACCGCATAGCCACACTTGCAGGATATTCCAGGGGTTCTGACTTGCCCCCCTCCCATACTGCTCTGGGTCTCATGGGCTCTGACAGGACATGCTGCTCTGTCAGCTGACTTAGGGTCATGGCTCCCGGTGGGGCGAGGACCCCCAGGGTGGGAGGACACTGATTTTGACTCACATGGCTTTACCGAAGGAATGAACAGTAAATCTTGTAGTGTGGCTAATGCTGAACAGGAGCAGAGCAGGTGGAAGGAAAAATCAGGGGTCTCCCGGGACTCGGGTGCTGAGGAGGGCAAGTGAGAGCCGAGGTAAGGAGACAGGTATCAGGGACTCAGAGTTCTAATTCGGGAAGGCCGTGTGAGGGTATTAGCCCCAGGGGACACGGGGCGAAGCTGTGAAGACCCCTCTGGCCACTGCCCTCCACCTGAGCAGACCCTAATGTGGGTCACCGTGTCCAGCATGAGGCTCAGTTCCACTCAGATTCTACGGTGCTGGAAGCAGCCTATACACAGGGCAGTTTCTAGTCTCAGTTAGCACCTGACTTGGAAGGTGGAGAGGGGACACAGGTGAGACTGGGGAGGGGTCCCAGGCCCATGTGTAGATGCAAGGCTCAAGGATGAGACACTGGGGCAGGGACACAGATGCTGATCCACCCCGTGGACAGGTTGGTTGCTGGAGCCCGGGGATAGCGCTGCAGGATGCAAGATGGCCACTAGGTGGCAGCCTGGCCCTTTGCCCAGAGGGGACCTGTTCCACCGCCTTTCTGGTGGTCGCAGCTCCCCCAGACCTCAGTAGTGCTCACCCCAAGTTCCCAGCCAGGAGGACAGGGGTCAGACTGATGGCAACACCCCTGCCCACATTCACCCCTGGGTCTGGCGCCTCCTTCCGGGGAGGGATGCAGGATAAACACCACATTCTTGGCAGCTATGCCCCAGCTGACCCTGAATTGCCGGGCATGGATGATAGCCCTGTGGGTGATGGGCATATGGGCGTTTCCCTGGCTGACCCCATACCACAGGGCGGGGTCTAGAACCCGTCTACGCTCTTTCCGGAGTGTCTGCTCCCTTCAAATCGCCACACTCTCAACTTGCTGCGGGCTCTGCTTTCTACCACGGTCAGCGTTGCCCATTCCTCCTCCTCTGCAGGTCCCTGAGCATCTCCCCTCTAGGGGAATTTCTGGGCTGAGATGGGATTGTCCACAGGCAGCAGCTCTGAGCAAGGGGAAAAGCAGGTGGGAGTGCACGTGTGGGTGAAATGGATGGTCCACTCCCTCAACCCACCCCCAGCAGCACTGGAACACTGCACAGTGCACCCTCGGGGCCGTGCCCCCAGGTAGCCAGTGCATCTGAGGGCATTGCAGATGCTGTGGTGTAGACTGGGTCCGCATCGGCTAAGAAAGCTAAAGCCCCGGCCCACCATAACCCTGGAGGATCCTGTTCCAGCCCAGCTCACAGCTCATACCACACTCAGACCTGCTGCTCCCCTCCCCAGACCACCCCTCAGAGTCCTGGGGGGTCCTGCTTGCTCTGCCTCCACCACTGCCCATCATCCCTGTGGTCTCCCTTCTGCTTGTCATCCGTCCAAGTCCTGGGTTCCTGGGACCCTGTCATGGGTTCCTAGAGGCTCAGATGACCTGCAGGACGGCCCAGTGGCCACTTCCCCGTGCCTCTGCACTCACTGGTGGTTTCAGTGACCCAGGAAGGCTCTCTTGAGCAGGACTGTCTGTGTCGCATGGCGACCACGGACAGACGCAGGATAGTGTCAGGGGGTGGGGATTGTGGGGGAGGCACAGGCCTAGAGGGGGAGACCCGACCCCAGGGACACAGCAGCGGCCCTGCTCTGGCCCTACCACCTCCGCTCCCAGAGCAGGACCCTCTCAGCCCCGCGACAACCTAGAACGTGTCCTTGCTTCTGCTGGGGTCTGGCTGGCCGGCAGGCCCTGGCTATGGAGAGGCAGGCGTTGGGATTGAGAGACCACCAGGCTGGGGCAGAGCTCCGGGCTGCGCTGGTCCCACACCTCCCAGAAAGGCTAAAGCCCAGAGGGAGCATGAATGTCCTTCACTCATCTGAGGCCCCCTCGACTCTCACATGCTCCTACCTTGGGGGGAGCCCCTCCCCACCCTACACCTAGCTAGTAAGATTCTTACCCCAGCCAGAACTCCAGACACCCCTCTGACCTGCCACACCCCCACCCACTGCCCTCAGCTTTCTGGTCCTCCTTGCCCTCCACTGTCCAGATTATCATGCCAGACCATGTCAGGTTCCCCTACCCCCTGCTCACCTGGCCTGCTGACCCTGGAGATGCCCTTAACCAGCCAACCCTCCACCACCACCTTTTCTTTTTTTTTTGCTTCTTGGGTCACACCCGGCGATGCTCAGAGGTTACTCCTGGCTCATGCGCTCAGGAATTACTCCTGGCGGTGCTCAGGGAACCATATGGGATGCTGGGAATCGAACCTGGGTCGGCCATGTTGGCTGCGTGCAAGGCAAACGCCCTACCCGCTGTGCTATCGCTCCAACCCCCCCCCCCCACCACCACCTTTTCAAGTGCAGAAACTTCTGGACTCCCAGTTGCATTCTTCTCCCGCACACCAGGTCACCACCCCTCTTGGTCACCTCTCTACTTCCCAGAGGTGGCCCCGGAGCCTCCCTCCTCCCGGGAGCACCCAGTCTCCCCAACCCAGCACCTTCCCAAAGGCCTTCTAACAGCCAGCAGAACCCCATCACTCAGCAGACCCCCATCAGATGTGGGGACTCAGCACAACCTGCCTCTGCCTGCCCCCCTCTCAGGAGCCCGCAGACCCTCCAGGGTGGTCTGTACCAAGTGGCTCCAGCGTGGGACTCAGTTCCCTGCAGGTCACCCACCCCCTCTCAGTGACCTCCACGTGAAACAGGCCTCAGCCCTGTCCAGTTGACTGATCCCCTTTCTCCTGGGTCCTGACGCTGCATTGGTGTCAGAACGGCCAGTCTGGCCACAGAGTCTGCACTAAGTTTGCAGTTCTCCACTTTCAGGTCTGGCTGTGTCCACTTTTGGAAAAATCCCCGTAGGGACCAGGCTCTGACGTTTGGGGCCTGAAATCACTCTTGGTGATTAGTCTGTGCATACAGATGAATCCACAATGCCCCTGGGGACCTGCATGGGGTGCCAGCTTCCGTGCCCTGCCCCCCAGCCCATGGATAATGGTGCAGTCACTTGCAGACTCTGCTGGAAGCTGCTCACACCCTGCCCAGGTCCCTCCTCCTGGGCTCAAGGTCAGCTCTGCTGTTAGCTGAGCACGAAGCTGGCTGCGGGTGTGAGTGACCAGTGGCACCGGGATGTGGGCAGACAGACAGAAGCTCTTTCTGAGTGTTCATACTTTATTTCACGTGACGGACACAAACAAGACTGGGGTTAGTGGGCTGGAGAGAGTACAGCAGGTAGGGCACTTGCCTTGTAGGTGCCCAACCCGGTTTGAATCCTCGACATCCCAAATGGTCCCCTGAGCACAACCAGGAATAATTCCTGAGTTGCAGAGCCAGGAGTCACCCCTGAGCATCGCCGGGTATGGCCCAAAAACAAACAAAAAAATTGGGGGAAAAAAAAAAGACTGGAATTAGTAAAGTAACAGAGCTGGGGGCTCCCACTGACCTCTGGGCCTGAAGCCCTGCCCTCAGCACCACCCCTCTCCGACACAGTGCCGCAGCTACTGGCAAGTCTGGCGTGGCTGCCTGGTCGGCTGCGCCTGCACCCTGGGCCTTGGTCAGTCATCCGGCCAGCCCCTAGTCGATCCTGGGCAAGGGCGCCCACGTCTCACTCCAGGAGTGTGAGGTTTTCTCTGTGTAGCTGCCAGCTGCCCCGGCTGCCCACTGCCCTGAGGTCCAATAACACCAACGCTCAGAGAGCTCAGGCCTAGACAAGCACCCGAGGGCTAGAGCTGTCCAGGCAAGCAGACACAGACACCCACCATGTTCCCCAGTGTCCTGCTTCCTTGCTGTGCTCCTCAAAAGGCCTGGGGTGTCCGGGAGGGGACATGCCCCTGGAAGGCTGGGTGGACAGGCAGGCCCAGCTGAGGGTCGGGCCTCTCCAGGACCCAGGCACCGGTACACCCAGTTGCAGAGAGGGGGCAGGGCAGTCCCCAAAGTAACATTATTCCTAAGTCACAGTACTGGCCCAGGTGAGCCCCGGGAAGGGTCCAGGTGCTGGCTGGAGGGGCCACTGCTGACCTCAACAGAGAGAAGGAGAACGATGTATGCGGAAGGGACACAGCCCCAGGACAGGTGGGCAGAGGACGGCCGGCAGGCGACGGGTGGGTCTGGAGGGAGGGTCGCCCTGACCTTCCCTCAGAGCACCATCTGCTGGACAGAGCGAGGCCAGGCCAGTGGTCTCTCCAACCAACACACAGGCAAGAAAATCATACCAGGAAAGAAACGCGTTTACAAAAGTAGAAAACGGTTAGCGCAGGGGCTGGGGCAGCGGCAGGCTCAGGGCAGGGGGCAGGGCTGGAGCTGGGGTCTGGCAGCTGCGTCCTCCACCAGCTGCAGCGGCCTGCCGCCCACTACCACGTCCCGGAGGCAGCCCACAAAGCCCGTGCCGTAGGCTTTGGGTAGGGTCTGGCCCACAGGCAGCTTCTCCAGGCCTCCTGCAGGGTAGACAAAAGGAAGTCCCAGCTGAATCTCGGGCACACTGGTGCAGGGAAGGGTGAGAGCCCACCAGGCTCCAGGCCTGGTCCTGCCCTGGCCAGCCTGCTTGTCTCCCAGGGCTGTTTCTGGGAGGGGTCCGTCCACCCCTCAGGCACTCGTCCTTGGCATCACTCCCGACTCACCCAGCCACAGGGCTCCGTCGGTGTCCAGCTGCGTGGCACCCAGAGGGGAGGAGCCGGTCACGGGGGCCTCATTGCCCACCTGGAGCGAGCCTTCCCTCTGTTCCCTGTGGGGGTAGGTGTAGTGAGACCCCCACCCCGCAGCAAGCCCAGGGCAGAACTGGGTATCTGAAATAAAGGCCTAAATAGGCAGGCTATGCCGGGGGACGGCCAGGCTCAGTGGCCGGGCTCCTCGTGCCTCTCCAAAAAGAGGCTCGGGTCAGGCCCCTTGCTGGCCTGGACCCCCGCACGGCCACCAGCGCCTGACGTCCCACTGACCTGTGCGCCCTGACCCGCAGCCAGCGGTTGGTGTTCACGGGCACTGTGGAGCGCAGCACCACGGGCTGAGAGCCCAGGTCATAGGCCAGCTGCAGGTGCCCATCCACGATGGCCAGGGCGACGTAGTCGGCCCGCTCCGTGGCCTTGCCGCTCCACAGCACCAGCCCCTGCGTGGCCTCCGTGCGCAGGCTCAGCTCAAAGTGGTTGGTCTGCAGCGCCTTCTCGCTGGGGGAGGGTGGGGGTGGGAAAGTCTGCTCAGGGCACCTCAGGGGCAGGTGGGGGGGGAGGGACTCACGTCCTGGGGATGGGCCCTGGGGTGACTGGACGGTAGGAGGGGCCGCGGGCGGACACACAGAAGTGATGGAGACAGGGGCCAATGAGGGGAAGAAAGCAGGCGGGCCACGTGCTCACCTGTGAAGGGCCCCGGGGTCTGGCGCTTCGGGGCTTAGAGCAGGAAGAGAGGGAAGCAAGTAAGCAGGAGCAGACAGGTAGCTGAGTGCAGGCAGGGAGGGAAAGGCAGCCCGCGCTTTGTAATGTGGGGAGGGCCTGGGGGCCATACCCAGTGGGCCCAGAGCCAGTGAAGAAACAAGCACGAAGAGACAGTGGATGTGGGCACCAGCTCCAGCCCCCACACCCACAAGCCCCCCCAGTCAAGAAAACTCAGGAGCAGTCAGGGGGCTGCAGGCCCGGCCCAACCTGGTGCACGGTTCTGAGGTGAGGCAAGGGGGATGGAGCGAAGGCACAGTCCACCTGCCTGGGACCCCCCCACAGACAAGCTGCTGGGCACACAGAAATGCACATGGGCTGGCACACATGCATGCAGCCCCACACTCACATGTGCAGGCAACGCATATAAGACACACAGGTGCACTTATACACAACACACAGCTGCTCCTACACACATGCACCCAGGCAATTCACACACAGGTACACACACTCACACATGCTCATACACTCAGACGCACTCATACACATACACACACACGTACACGCTTATATATGACACACAGCTACATGCTTAATAGGCATATACATGCAACACAGGCACAATCACACAGGTACACACATGCTCACACACACAGTTATATGCACACCTATGCACATGCAGGCACACACACGGGTTCACATGCATAAATTTGCTCACTCACACATGGGTACATGCGAGACACACAGGTGCACATACACACACTCATGCGCACACAAACACACACACACACACAGGCACACGCAGGCATGCCGAGTCTTTAGCTGGGAAAGGGGATGATGCAGTTCTGAGCTGGGAAGCGGAGCCAGCCAGTGCCCTGAATCTGCCACCTGGGTGCTGGGGCCCAGCTGTGGCAGAAAGGAAGGAGCAGAGAAAGGGTCGAGAGGTGAGTGAGTCACGGAGGTGGGGCCAAGCACTACTTACGCTGGGATCTCATTGGTGAGTCCGCTTGGAAGCAAAGAGACAGAGGCGTGAGCAGAAGAAAGGGGAAAGGTATGCAGCGGGCATGCTGGCAGTATGTGGCCTGCCTGCACACACACACACGCGCACACACATACACACACACACGTGCAGAGGGTACGTGAATACAGAGAGTCACGCGCTGCATCTCCCTGGGGCTATTACCTCTCTGTCACTGCATTGAGGTACTCGATATAGGTCCGCCCATCAAAGGCGAGGCTCTCCAGGTCCCCTGCTGCCTTCTCCATGAGTCCTGAGAGACAGTCGGTGAGGGCCGGCACAAGCTCCAACTGCCCCCTGCAGCCGCAGCCCTGTGCGCTCACCCTGTTCACAGTGCGGCCCTGAGAAGCCCCCAGGACACAGGCACTCATAGGCAGCCTCCCGGGGGACGCAGGAGGCCCCGTTGAGGCAGGGGTGGCCTGAGGCCTGGGTACAAGGGTGGTCTGTGAAGGACGAGACATCCACTGCCCGCACCACGTGCTCCGGGGTCAGCAGCTGGCGGCCCTTGAGGGAGACCTGGGGGTGGGGGAAGCCTGCGTGGGAGGCTACCCCTGGGCTGGGACGGCAGCACCAGGGGAGGCTCCACACCCCCCACCCTCAGCTCCGGCCCCAGCCAGCCCCCACATACCAGCTGGATGGCCCCGTCGAAGCCAGAGGACACAGCAGCCGCCCGGGCCAGCTTGCTGAAGTCAGGGGCACCCCCCACATAGAGCGGCTCCTTCAGGTTGAGGATGGTGTGTGGCACCTGGCGGAGGTCTTGGGTGAGGGGCTGTGGGGGTCACCCCCTGGGCAGGGGTTGGCCCAGCCCAGATTCCCCCCCCAACCCCCCCCCCCCATCAAGAGGCAGCGCTACTCTAGGGAGGAGGCGCCGGAGGGCGCCAGCAGGAGAGGGAGCTGGTACCTTTCGGGATTTCTGACATCCGGAGAGGGGTTTGCAGAGCGAGAGCCAGAGAGCAGTGGGGGCAGGGAGGGACAGAGACAGGCGCAGGGCAGAGGGAGAGAAAACAGTTCAGTGAGGACGCGAGGCAGCAGGCGGGAAGGCCAGTGGCCTCCGAGCCCGGGGACACTCACCGGGGACTCCCCCAGCTCACGGGGCCCGTCGCCCACACGCAGAGCACCCTTGCGACCGGTCCGCTCCAGGAAGACCCTGGTCCAGGTTCCCAGGGCCACTGGCTCCGTGCTCCTGGCGAAGGATACCATGGGCTGGCGTGGGCTCAGCGCTCTCCCGCTGTCCCTGGCCACCCACCCTCCAGGACCCAGCAGGCACGCACCTGATGATCGCTGCCCCCTTGCCCAGGTCATAGCGAAACTCCAGATGCCGGTCGCGCAGTGCCAGGGACACAAAGTCCCCCTTGCCATCTGTTTTCTGCCCATTGTAGAGGAGCAGGCCGCTGGGCCCGCGGGCCAGGAACACCACCTCCAGGGCCATCTTCTCCCTGGGCCAGACAGGCGGGCGGGCAATGAAGCGACAGTGGGCACAAGGGGGCGGGGCAGGACCCCTCACCCACCCCGCAGTCCCACTGACCCTAGGTCCCGGTCCAAGGCGTGCAGGCCTTTCAGCTCCAGGTAGGAGAAGCCATTGAAGTTAGCCAGGAAGGGCAGGGGAGCATCCCTCTCTGAGGCTGCGAAGGGCAGGAGGCTGGTCACATGGAGTTACACAGCCACCCTGGGAGGCCCCACCCCCACGGCTCTCTGAGGCCCCACCCTCACGGCTCCCTGAGCCCTGGGGCAACTCAGACCCTGGCACCAGCCTCAATTCCAAGCCCAGGCCCACCCCGCCCAGCCACGCACCAGCCCCCTCTGCACTGCCCCACCTGTCTGACAGAGGGCACCCCTGCGCCCAAGGGGACACTCGCACTTGGCCTCGCCCGTTGGCAGCACGCGGCAAGGAGCCGCCCCGTGGCAAGGGTTTGGCTTGCAAGGATCCTTCTCGTCTGCACAGGTGGGTCCTGCGGAGACAGAGGGAACGCAAGGGAGCCGCATACAGAGGTGTGCCCCACCCTCAGGATCCAAGCCAGGTGCGGCCCTCACCGAAGCGGCCAGGTGGGCACTGGCAGTGGAACATGCCGTCTTCCAGGGCCTGGCATGGGGCCCCGCCCAGGCAGGGGTTGGGGAGGCAGGGCTGGTCCCCACACTCGCTCACACCGGAGTTCTGGATTGCAGCCTCCTGCCAGCGGCCCAGCTCCAGCCGCTGGTTGTTGACGTCCAGCAGGCGGATGCAGCCCCTCAGGCCGACACCCACGGAGGTGCGCTCCAACACCCTGCCATCAGGATGAGGGTCAGAGGTCAGAGGCCTCCTCCGACACCATCCAGGGTGGGGTCGGCCAGCTCCCTCCCACCAATGACGACAGGATCAGAGCTGGGTGTCAGGGGGGAATGAGTCAGAGCCAGCCTGAGCCCCTCTGGGCAGCCTGGCCCTCAGGGACCCCCACAGACAGGACAATCAGTGCTGAGGCAGGTTCATGAGGGTGTCTGCCACCCACCACAGTCTGATTTCGGGCCCACCCAGTCCTTTGCTCACACGGAAGCCTGGTCCTGGGGGAAGCCACCCACGAAGAGATCTGTGTCCAGGTTGAGGCCGTCAGTGCCGCTGGGGCTCTGGCCCACCACTGGGCTCTCTCCATCCACTGAGAGAGAGCCCCGGCGCCAGTGCCGGGACAGCTCCAAGCGGTGCCACCGACCCGGCTCTATCGACACAGAGCTGGTCAGCACTGCAGGCCCCGATCCTGTGTCAAACCTGGGAGGAGCACGTGTTGAGAAACACCCAAAGGGCCCCCAGCCCCAAGCCCTGCCCATGCCACTGGTTATCACAAAACCCCACTCACCCCGTTTACCCCGCCCCCGCATATACGCCCCGCCCACAACCCCGCCCCATCAGGGCCCCTCTCACTAGGCCCCGCCCCCATTGCAGCGCCTCCCACCAGGCCCCGCCCCGGCCCCTACAGTTCCTCTCACCAGGCCCCGCCCACCAGCACAGCCACTCCCACCAGGCCACACCCACCGGGCCGTCCGGCCCCGCCCCCTCCCTGGGCCCCAGATCCAGCTGCACCTGAGCTGCACTCGGCCTCCCTGCAGCGCCAGCGCCAGGAAGTCCTTGCCCCGAGCGTTGCCATTGTAGAGCAGCAGCCCACTGGGTTCCAGCGACCGGAACTCGAGCGCCAGGCGCAGCGTGTGGTAGGCACGCAGCGTGGGGAAGGCCAAGAAGGAGGAGCCCCCAAAGGCTGGCACCGAGGTGTGCAGCGCTGTGGAGACAAGACAGGACCGCTGGAAGGAAGGCAAAGAGAACCCTACCCAGCCCGCCAGGGGGCTGCCTCTGTGATCCTGCTCTCCCCCAGTCGCCCTTTCCCTGGGGAGTGAGGGACGTGGGGGGGGTCCCCAACTTTGGCCGGCGCAGCGGCCGCCACTTACCCTTCTCACAGATGGCGCCTGTCCTGCCTGCTGGGCAGCTGCAACTGAAGTCTCCACCTGTATCCTGGTCCCAGCAGGTGCCCCCGTGAAGGCAGGGATGGGAGTCACAGGGGCTTGGGGGCTGCTGGGGGCGTGGGCTCAGGGGCCGGTGGGCAGGCACTCGACCAGGGGCAGTGGTAGGGGGCCGGTGAGTGTGGGGGGGCGCTGTGGTCCTGAGGACTGGTCGGCTTGTGTGGCTGGGGTAGAGGGCCCGGGGGGGCGCAGTGGAGGCAAATCGATGGGCCCCAGTGGTGGCTCTGGCTGTGGCTGCAGCGGGGGTGGTGCCTGTGGAGGCTCCCGTGAAGAAGGCAGGAAGCCAATCTGAGGGTGGGGCACCGGTCAGCACTGCTGGCATGGCGGGGGCCTCAGGGCCCGGAAGCTGTGCGCGCAGGGTCATGGGGCACGGGGGAGGGGCCGTGGGGCACAGGGACAAGGACGGGAGCAAGGGGGTTAGGGCTGGCCCATGGGGAAAGGTGTGTGGGCTCACCGAAGTCCATGAAGCGAATGTGCTCTTGCGGGGGCCGCCTCACCCCCAGGCGCCTGGACGTCTGGATCTGCCTGAGCAGGGCCCGGTTTACATCCGCCGCCCGCACGCTGGAGGCTGGGGAGGAGCGACACTGAGCTCGGGCCCTCTAGTTCCACGGAACCCCACCCGCCCTGGGAGCAGTAGGGCAGGGCCTCACTGGGGTCGAAGTGCACGTCCACGATGGCTCGGACTGAGCGGCCAGGGCCCAAGTCCCGAAGTCGGACACTCCGGAAGTCCTTCTTGACTTCTGAGTTCCGGAAAAGGTCCTCCAGCTGCGGTGGGTGGGAGGAGTGGAGGGTTTGGACAGCCGCCGCCAGGCCCTGTCCTCTCCAAGCGGTCTGATGGGGATCTGCCCTGCTGAAAGGCCCAGGGCTGGGCTGCAGCCGGTGGACCTGGACTCACCGCACTCTCAATGCTCCTGGCGGTCTCCCCGAACAGCTCCGACTTGGGGTCGGCCATCTCTGGTGTGTAGAACAGGTCCTGCCCCTCGACCCCCTCGAGCTCCAGCACCCCCTGGAACACCTTGGTGGCTGTGGGGGAGGGGGCAGTGAGGTCCTGCCTGTTGAGGCTGGGCACAGCCCCAGCAGCAAGCCCCACGGGCAGCCAGCGTGTTAGTCAGATGGCCATGAGGTTAGTGGGCCCCGGGCAGTTACCAGGCGGACTCCTCATGGCAGTAGCCAGGCCGGCTTGCAACAGGAGAGACGGGTTAGCCGCGAGGTCCTGGGCACCCACGAGTGTGGGGGCCGAGACCACATGTGCACGTGTGCGGGGTGAAACCCCAGAAGTGGGCACACGTCTGTGTGAAGGTCCGAGCGCCCTGGGCCCGGCACAGACCTGCGGTGACGGCTTCCCGGGGGTGTCGGACTCCTGGGCTCACCGCGGCCCAGCCCCACTCACCGGGACAGTTGGAGCCCTCTGCGTCCAGCGAGGGCGTCTTGCCATCTGAGCAGCAGCCCAAAGGCGAGTTGTAGCAGGACGCCCTCTCGATGGGCAGCCCTGGGGTCTCAGTACGGCCCGCCTCAGGAGGCTCAAATCCTGCAGAAGGAAGTGCGGTGTTAGGCCAGACCTAGGGGCCCTCTGGCCCTTGCCCCAGGCCGCTGTGCCTCCACACACACTCCGGGGCCACCTCTGTGGGCCTCGGGGCCCCTGTGCCTGCACTCACCCCCTGAGCCGGCTCCGCTGGCCTCCAAGTCCCCGCTGAGCTCCTCATCCCCACTCCCCTCAGCGCTGCCAGACTCGCCAAAGGCGGACATGGCCAGGCTGGTTGTTGCAGCGGGTGTGGTGGGGGGCATGGTTAGCGCAGGCCTCGCCGTGGCCCTGGGTATGCTGGCGATGGTCCACGGCTGTGCAGACGGCTGAGGGGTGGGCTGGCTGCGGGGCGTGCTGCTAGGAGCCAGGGGCTGGGCACTGGCCGGGGGCGGCAGAGCCTGGCTCGGGCGGAGACCCAAGGTGACTACAGACGCAGACGTGGGGAGCACGCCAGAAGTGGCAGCATCTGCAGGGAAAGGAGAGTGAGGAGGGGCCGGGCAGGGCCAGATCTTCCTGGCCAGGGCAGGCCAGGCCAGCCGAGTCTCACCTTGGCACGGCCCGACGCTCCGGACAGTGATGTCCAGGCCCTGGCGGCAGGCGATTGTTCTCAGCTGACACTCGTTCCCATAGGTGACGCCGTCTGACCCACAGACCTGGGCACAGAGCGAGGAGGATGTTGGGGGTCATCTCTGCCCCCGTTTCCCCCCTACTCCCCAACTCTTTCTTACCTTGGTAGCATTGGTCCCCAGACAGGTAAGTGCTGGACACACACAGTGGGCAGTACCAGCCTCCTCCACACAGGATGCCCCAAACTCACAGTGCAATGCGGCACACGTGGTGGGCACTGAGCCATCTGGCACATAAGAGATGCTGCTGGCTCAGGAGGCCTGGCCAGCTTGGTCAGCCCCACTCCCGGGTCAGAGTTGTTCAGCAGAGGCCCACTCACCTGATTCACAGCCAGCAGGGCCCATCGCGCGGCCATCCGGACACTGCCCACATTTGGGGCCAGCCACCCCGGGCTTACAGGAGCACAGCCCGGTCATCTGCTCACAGTCGTCCCGCACTGCGCCCCGGGCATCACAGCTACAGGCTGCGGGCAACAGAGGAAGGCTGAGCTCTGCGCCTGGACCCCTCCCCAGCTGCCCCACAGTCTGGCTCCAACCCCACCAACCGTGAAACAGGACGGGCAGGGGTACAGAGCTAAGGCCAGCATGGGCATTGGCACTCACGGGTGCAGCCGCTTCGGCCATCAGTGACAATGCCACGGAAGTTCCAGAAGCCAGGCTCACAGCGGTCACACTTGAGGCCCCCGACGCCCGGGCGGCAGGAACATTGGCCCGTGGCTGGGTCACAGGTGCCACTGTAGGAACCGTGTGGGTTGCAGTGGCAGGAGCCTGCAGGAGTCGGGCAGGAGAGTCACATGGCCTGTGGCCACAACCACTGCCTTGCCAGGGTGGATCTAAAGGGGCACTCAGTCATGTGGCCTTATCAGAGCAGGTCTGCATGGACCTCGGGAGGGCGAATCTAGGGGCACTCACCGGGACAGCCAGCCTGGCCCACGCCCTGAGCAGCAGTGAGGTTGTCTGGGCAGCACCCGAAAGGGCTTTGGGTGCAGTGGGGAGGGACTGCCGGTGGCAGTGGAGCCAAGGTAGGACCTGCAGGCAAAGGGCAAGAGTTGAGTGTTGAGTTCTGCTTCAACCTCCCCTCTCTGACCAGCTGTGAGACCACATCTGTGCGGGCAGCGCCGGGGACAAGAACACAACCAGGAGTGACGTTCTACACAGCTAGTGTCACACACAGCCCGACACACGCAGAGACACATACACACTCTCGATCCAGTGCCCCCACACCACACATTCACCCGCACAGCCACCAGCATGTACACACATAGCCTTTGGTGCACAGTACTCAGGGGACTGCACCGTACACCCGGGGCTGAGCAAAGCTCATGTTGCAGCCCTCTGGCATCTCCCCAGTCCCCTATAAAGCAGCAGTGAGTGTGACCAGACTCCCCCACTAGAGAACCCCCCGAGGGGTGGGCACACAGGCACAGCACGTGGGGAGCACAGGCCAAAGGCCGGGAAAAAGCTCAGGAAAACGGCGGGATGTGCACACCTTGGCAAGCGCCCGAGGCCACAACGGCCAGCTCCTGCTGAGACTCGCACCGGGCCTTCTTCAGCTCACACTCGGTGCCATAGGTGACACCGTTGGAGCCACAGACCTGGAGAGGCAGCAGCGGTGAGGGCGCCACAGCCCCCCCCCCCCCCCCGCTCCACACCTGCCAGAGCTGGGCAGTGCCAGGCCTCACCAGACTCCTCGGGACGCCCTGGCAGTTGAAATCGCAGACGCACGGTCCGTCCTCGGAGTCCTCGTCCCAGACGCCACCTCGCTGCTGACACAGCTCCTGCTCACACTCGCCGTCCTCCCCGGAGCCAGAGCCACCGGAACCGCACTCGGCTGCGGGAGGGGTGTTACCTGTGTGCCACGCCCGCACGGGGCTTGCACCCCGCGGCCCACTGCCACCACCTACCCTGCTCGCAGGGTCCTGCCCGGGCCTCCTCGATCTGCTTCTGCTGCTGGCACGCCGCCTCGCGGAGCTCACAGACACTCTGGTAGGTGACACCGTCGCTGCCACACACGGGCCCGGGCGGGGGGTGCTCGCACCGGGGACACACACACCGGCCCGCTGAGCACACGGCCCCAAAGGCACACACTGTGTCCCCACAGGCCTCTGCAGGGGGCAGGTGGTCAGGCAGCGCTGTCCTGGGGCAGTGTCCCCGCAGCACCCTGCTCCCTGCCCCCACTCACGGCAGGGTCCGGCGGAGGCCACATGGAGGCTGATTTGGTGTGTGCAGGCGTGGACATGAAGCTCACACTCGCTGGCATATGTATACCCATCTGAGCCACACACGGGCTGGTCCATGGCTACACACTCAGAGGGGCACACACAGCGCCCTGTCTCTGGCTCACACAAGGCTCCAAAGTGACACTGGCCGCAGCGGTCTGGGAAAGAGGCGATGTTACCCGGGGACCTGAACACTGCCCGACCCCCCCCCCACTACCCGCAAGGCTGCTCGCCTGCCACTGACCACAGGGTCCTCTGTGTGCCACCCGGATCTCCCGCCTGAGGGTGCAGGCTGTGGCTTCCAGTTCGCAGGTGCTGCCGTACGTAACACCGTCACTGCCACACACAGGGTCATAGACGCCAGAACACGCCAGTGGACACGCACACGTGGCCTCCCCATTCTTCACAGCACAGGTGGCTCCGAACTGGCACTGCACTCCACGACATGGGGACGGGGGCTGGCCTGGGGAGAAGGCGGGCACTCAGGGGTCCAGTCACTGCCTGGGACATGCACAAAGCCCCTTCCCGGCAGCAGATCCGTTCCCGGGGGGTTGGGAGGACAGAGGAAGTCGGGCCGGAGGCACAGGACACAGCTGGAGAGGGACAGACACACAGCAGACACGGACAGGACACAGACCCAAATGGACCGGGTCCCACGCACAAGTGTGGGACACACTGGCGGTGGCGGGGCAGGTGTCCTCAGCCGCCCCTGCAGCCCCAGGACAGCCATGCACGCACACACGGGGCCTGTGTCACCGGGGCGCGAAGCTCTGCAGCCCACTACACCCAGGGACACACAGGGAGGGGGGTGTCCGTCCATTTGCTCTGCGGAGCACAGGCCAGGCAGCAGCGAGCCACACCCCCCCTGCCACGCGGGGGGCAGACCTCGGGCTGCGGCTCCTGGCGGCAGGCGCGGGACCTCATCCTGCCAGCGGCTCAGGCTGGAAGACACAAGAGTCGGAGCCGAGAGGGAAGGAAGGACGGAGGGACAGAGAGACGAGAAAGAGACCAGAAAGATGGACAGACCTACTGACGAGACAGCTGGAGGTGGGCCGCACCGCCACGCAAGACACACCACCTCCACCCTCTGCTGGTCACACAAAGCCCGGCGGGGACCACGTGGGACCCGGAGAGCTGGACACCACAGGCTGGGAGGTGCCTGGTTCCTCGGAAGAGTGGACTCTGCCCCCGCCCAGAACCCACTGACCAACACGTCCTGGCCATCCCAGTGACCGGAGCCTGGGGACCCTCGACCCCGGGGAAGACAGCGCGAGATGGAGATGACAGTGATGAGGGCCGCAGGGACCTCGGCAGGCTGGCTCCCGCGCGGCACCACCCACGGAGCTCACCACACGGGCCCTGGTGCTTGGCAGGAATGGCTCGCTGCTGCTGGCACTCGGCCTGCTGGCGCCAGCACTCGTTGTCATACGTGTGCCCGTCCTGGGCGCACACGGGCCTGTAGGCTCCGTCACACGTGACTCGTTCACAGGAGCAACGGGAACGACCTCGGCGGGACAGGCACACGGCGTTGAACTTGCAGGCTTCTGGGCACTGGTCTGCCATGGAGTGGAGCCAGGAGGTCAGACCCCAGGGACAGGCAACCCGAGAGGCAGTGAGGGCCCGAGGCACCAGCAGGACCCTCCTCCCAGAGCGGCCCACCTCTAGGCTGGCACTGGCCGGAGCGCACTTTCTGGAGCAGGAGGCCACGGGCAGCTCCCTCGCGGTCCATGACGCAATCGTTGTCGTAGGTGACCCCATCGTCCCCGCACACGGGCGCCCGGCGGGAAGAGCAGCTCTCCGCGCGCAGGAGCATCTCCGGGCGCCGCGTGCGCGGGTTCACACGGCAGAAGCGGTTGGGGTCACTGAGGGCATTCTGGCAGGGGTCTGGGGGAGGGAGGCCAGGAGTCAGCCGAGGCGCATGCCCCCCCCCCCCACGACTGCCCTCCCCTCCCGCGACCCCGCCACGCGGCGCACCGCACGGGCCGTCGAACTTCTTGACGATGTCCTCCTGGCGTGCGCAGGCGCTGCGCAGCAGCTGGCACTCGCCGGGGTAGTCGGCGCCGTCGCTGCCGCACACGGTGCCATCGGGCTCGCCGCGGCAGCTTGCGGGGCACAGGCACGTGGCGCTCTGTCCGTCGGCCGAGCGCGCGCACGTGCTGCCGAAGCTACAGGTCACACCGGCACACGGGTCCCGGGAGCCTGTGGGCGGTGCGGGGCGGGTCACCTGCCAGCGGCCCGCGCCGCGCCCTGCCCCGCCCGCCAGGCCCCGCGCTCACCGCAGGGCCCACGGCTCAGCAGCCGGATGCGCCGCTGCTGGCGGCACTGCGCGCGCAGAAGCTCGCACTCGCTGCTGTAGGTGGACGCGTCAGAGCCGCACACGGGCGCCACCACGCTGGGGCACGCGCTCTTCTTGCACACGCACGAGGCGCGGCCAGGGTTCTCCGCGCTGGGCTCGCACACGGCGCCGAAGCCGCACAGCATCCCTCGGCAAGCTGTGATCGGGGGCGGGAGGGAGGGCCAGGCTGTGCAGGTCCTGGGCACAGACGGCGCCCTGCGCGCTGCCCATGGCCCCAATTGGTCGTGAGGGCTCCATGGACACCTTCACGCGTGAGTGGTCCACCAGGACGCACCCTCCGGCTCCAGCCCTCCCTCCTGGGGAAACCTCTGCCCACCGCCCGGCCCCTTAACTAGAGGGGGCGCATCTCCTGCACCCCCCGTGGCCAGACCAGACCTCAGGTCCCACCACATCAAAGTCCTCCCGCGGCGGCTGGCCTTCCCCCAGAGCCCTGGCCCCTTCCTGGGAGCTGCCTGTGTCCACAACCACATCTGCACCCCCCCACCTCCCAAGCTCCCCTGCCCTTTATGGACAGACCTGCGGGTGTCCAGCGACAGTAAGGAGGGGTGTCTGAGGACCCTCTCTTCCATGTCTCCCCACTCCAGCCTCCCTGGAGGCTGCTCCCCGCCCACCAGGCCCTTTCTGAGCGGCCTGGTGGGAGACAAGCTCCGGGCCCACCGTTCCACCTCCACTCCCAGTGCGCAGGTGCCCACGCAGGGTCCCTCTGCACCGCGTCCCACACGCAGTGGCCCAGTATGCCTCCCGGATGCCCCACTCACCGTCCGCAGGTGTCAGGGGCGCTGGTGTGAAGTGGCCTCCAGGCTTATCTGGAAGAGAATGAGTTTCCAGGTGAGGCCCTTCCCGTGCCCAGCTCCGAGCACCCCCTTCTGTCCAGACCCCTTCCAGCCCCTGCATCCGGGGTCCCCAACTCCCGAAGCAGCAGCGACCGTGTGTCAGGATGAGGACGGAGCCAGCGACCTGAGCGAGGGGGCTTGGGACTGCCCCGCTGCCCGCCCCCCACCCCGAGCTGCGCGGGTGGGGTGACTGGCTCAGCCTGCGGGGTTCCCCCGCCCCTGCACGTACAGCCGCCGAGGAGCAACACCGGGGCGAGGCCGAGCGTGACGGTGGCCAGCAGAATCAGGCAGACATTGCAGGGGATCATAAAATAGCGCACGAGCACCGACGCCCCGTGCGGCTGCTGCGGGTCCCGGGCCAGAGGCAGGGGACGCATGGCCCCGGGCTCCTCAGGCCCCTCCTGGGCGAGGGGGTCCTCACGGGGCGCCCTTGGGCCTCTTCGGGGCCACGGCCCCCATTCTGGGCCGCTGACCGCAGCGGGGCCCCGAGTTCAGCTCCAGACCCCGCCCCGGGCCCCCGCGCAGCCCTCCGGGATCATCCTGGGAAGTGGGCAGGACTTCCCGGGCGCGGCTCGGCAGGGCCCGGGGGGCGGCTCCGAGGGGCCGCGGGCGCCCGAACCCGAGCGAGCGGTGGCGGGCGCGGGGCGCGCGGAGGGCGGCGGGCGGGGAGCGGAGACAAAGAAGCCGCCGCCGGGGACCCCGGGTCCGCGGGGAGTCGCGGCTCCCGGCGCAAAGAGGGACTCGGCGGCAGCGGCACAAAAGGGCGCGCGGGGGCAGCTGCCGGGCCGGGGCCGGCGCGGGCTGCAGGGGCGGGAGGTGGGAGCCGAGAGGGGCGCACGGGGTGAGAGGGGAGCGGAGAGGGGCGCAGGGGCGGGAGGGGGAGCGGAGAGGGGCGCAGGGGCGAGAGGGGGAGCGGAGAGGGGCGCAGGGGCGGGAAGGGGAGCGGAGAGGGGCGCAGGGGCGGGAGCCAAGGGGGGGCCCGCAGGGGCGGGAGGGGGCAGCCGAGAGGGGCGCAGGGGCGGGAGGGGGGAGGGGGGATGAGAGGGGCGCAGGCCGCGGGAGGTGGGAGCCGAGGGGCGCAGGCAGGCAGGTGCTGGGGCGGGGCAGGGGCGGGGCCAGGAGTGGGGCGGGTCCACGGCCGGGGCTGGGGCTTGCTCACCCGCAGGACCCGGATAGGCCGAGCTGCGCGTGTGCTCAAGCGCGCGTGTCGCGTGTGCCCGCTGGCACCTGCTCCTGCCTCCCCGCCCAGGCGCCACACCCAGGTGGGGACCGAGCTGGGTCCAAAGCTGAGGATGGGAGAGGCGTGAAGGCACAGACACCTCTCACCCACTCCTCCCTGGGGGCTGACATCGACCCCAAGGCACCCCACAACGCACCCCTTAGGGGACTGTCCCCCAAATTCGAGGGCCCATCCCGATAAGCCTTCCTTGAGCGCCCTGACTGACTTCTCACATCAGCAGAAAGCCGTAACTCTCCAGTTAACCCTAAATCATACTTTTCCCCTCCTGGTTTCCCTCCTAAGTCACACCCTCCAGGAAGTCTGTCCTAGGGGCCACCCAGTCACCTGCACCGTTCCTGCTCACCCACCTGATCACTAACCTCCCCACATGCATGCACACACCCATATTCACTAACACTCACCCACACATACACCTACATTCACTCACATGCCCTCCACATTCACTCACCCCCCACCCACATTCACTCAACTCACCCAATCACATCACCCCCTCACACACCTGTTCACTCACACTTGCCTAATCATACTCATCTCGACACCCATTTACCCAATTTCACTCACCCACAGGCACACACTCACACCCACATTCATTCACATGCCCCATCACACAACTACCCCACTCACACGTGTTTATCCACTCTAATCAGTTGCTCCCAGACACAGTCACATTCACTCACGCACCCCCTTTCACATACTCTCATACACATACACACACACACACACACACACACACACTACACCCAGGTCCTGGCCATGTCTAGGCTGTCTGTCAAAGAAAGACCCCTTTCAGGTGAGGCCCTGCCCATGCCCAGCTCTGAGCCCTCTGTCTGAGCCTTCCTGCCCCTGCAGCTGGGCCCTGTGGCAGAGATACTGGGGGTCCCTAACTCCCAAAGCAGCAGCTACTGCATGTCAAGATGAGGACCAGAGTCAGCAACCCCTGCAAAGGGGCTCAGGACTGCTCTGCTGCCAATCACCAGTGCTGCCCCGGTCACTCTCTGGCCTCATCTCAGGGTATCTGGGAAGAGATGATAAGCACAGTAGTCTTCCCAGAGCCCCAAGGCTGGGGGAATCCTCTGCCTTGCCCTTGGTTGTATTTCTGGGTCACACCTGGCGATGCTCAGGGGTTTCTTCTGGCTCAGGCACTCAGGAATTACTCCTGGTGGTGCTCAGGGGACCATATGGGATGCTGGGAATCAAACCTGGGTCAGTCGCATGCAAGGCAAACGCCCTACCCGCTATGCTATCGCTCCAGACCCTGCCTTGCCCTTGGAATAGACACTTTCTGAGCCATCTCTGCCTGAGCACCCACCAAGCTGCCAACAAGACCGTCTCCCCACATCCAGCTGCCTCACGTATCCTGTTTCAAACTCTCACCCTTCTGCCCCCATGCTCAATTCTGCCCGGTCTGGTCCGTCACCCACAGCACAGGTCCACAAAGCCTCTGAGGGTTTGGAACTAAGGCCCTAAGGAAACCAATGGGAAGTTAATACCATGTGGTGGCCCAGGGCAGCAAACATGGAACTGCCCGCAGACCCTGGCCCCCCATCTCACCTCCCTTGTCCAGAGTGCCTGTGCCTGCAGTAGCTTCTCGGGTACCACCCTGGACAGGGAGCATCAGCAAGGCCTGAGTCAGCATCTCCATAGGGTGGGACCTGACCCTGAGCCCAGGGACCTGGTTTAGGGAGCCTTGGAAAGGCTCCCGTGGCCCCAAGACCTTCACTGCAGCCCTCAGGACTGTGGGCTGCATCTCTTGGCTCAGAGAGGCCCTGGGACAATGCGAGGAATTAAACACCAGAGATGTCCACTGGGCTCAATTGGCCCTGCCTGCCCTCCACTGCAACCACAGGACATTTTGGTGGACGCCACAGGAGGGGGCCTGGGAAGGGTGAGTCTAGGATCAATGGGAGCTGTGGGGACCTGCAACGAAGGCCTCAAATGCTGCCTGGGAAAATGCCCCCCACCCCTACTCTCACTGGTGCTGACCCACTGGTCAGTACAGAGGTGTCAGGGCTGGAGCCCACTCAGCAAGGGGTGAAAGGGAAAGAGTGGACGCAGCTGGCCCAGTAGCCCTGCCCGACTGTCTGAGCCCCCCAAAGGAACTGGATGCCTTCCGAGAAACAAAGGGCCATTGAGGCCCCAGACCAGCCCAGGGAGGGGAGCTCAGGCTACTGGAGCTATTTTGGGATCTTCAGACTCAAAATCATTCAGCCCTGACCAGCCCACTCAGTCTCCTGCCTGGGGCATGAAGAGAAAATCTGAGCCACGACTCAGCCCTGCTCTCCGGTCACACACACACAGCAAGACGCAGCTGCACACTCGAACACCCCGCCAGCTCTCCAGGCCTCCCACATGTAACACATGCATGTGACCACGCCCCAGAGCGCAGTCTGGAGGCACCCACCCGCCTCCCTCCCGTCCCAGGGCACGCACATGCAGGTCTGGGAGCCTCCAGGAATGACTGAGGGGTCTGGAGAGAGCTTTCTCAAGCAGGGGCCCCCTCCCCCTCATTCCAGTTCCCTGGAGAGGCCCACAGCCCAGCCCTACACTGCGCCAGCATCTCTGGTGGACCCTGCCCTGGGACACAGACCTCAGAACTCGGTGGGAGCCACAGGTGTCTGCAGCAGGCAGGGGAGAGGAGGCCCTGCAGCTCCCCCCACCCCCCTCCCCTCCTGGGCCTCTGGGGCCTCCAGCGTCCCCTCCCCCTGCCCCAGCAGACAATAGGCATTTCACAGCAGGGTGTTCTCTGGGTGCGGGCCAGAGAACCTCCACTGCAGCTCCAGGTGAGACTGGGAGGTGTCCTGGTGTAACTCCTGGGTTGGAACCCTCCACACCCCCCTGCCAGCTAAGCCCTGCTGCGGGTGGGGGGTGAGTCTGGGGAAGGGGCTCAGCAGGACTGGCTCATAGGACAGCAAACACAGCTGCTGGCCAGGCCTCCGTGCCCTCCCAATGGTGACTCAGCAGAGCTTCACTCACCTGCTGCCAGTCCCCTCCCCCTCGCCTGCCAGCACATCCTGGTCGTGTGGCGCCCTGAGTCAGGGGAGCTCCGGCCAGGAGTCTGGGAGAGACCTCAGTGACCTGAGGGGGCTGGTAGTTTGCTGGTGGGGGAGAGCCTCCAGCCAGTGGCCCAGGGACACCGGGGGAAAGAGCCCAGCCAGGACCCCAGACACCTGCCAGGTCCTCGGGGTGTCCATGCCCTCAGTCTCTCAGTCTCTGCTCCCACACGGACCTGCCCACTCCAGGAGGAAAGGAAAGCTGGAGGAGGCAGGCGGTGGCCAGGTGCGGTCTGGGCAGTTGAGTCAGGAGGCAGAGTTCCCGGTGAGCCATGCACATGCCCACAGGAGGCAGTGAGCATCACAGCCCTGCACGGAGGCCGGACCTCAGGGTGGAGTTTCCTGGACAGGACAGGTGGTGTATGGGCACTGCCCAGGGGAGGACAGGCGGAGTCGCAGGATGTACAGGAGGTCAAGAGGCATCCAGGACCCAGAGAAATTGCTCCTTGGGGAGCAGGCTCCGGGCCCTGGTCTTCCCGGTACTTATGGATGGTCACTGTACTGTCTTCTCTACATTGCCAGTCCCCTCCCCTCTCACAATTCTTTTTTTTTTTTGCTTTTTGGGTCACATCCGGCGAAGCACAGGGGTTCCTCCTGGCTCTGCGCTCAGGAATTACCCCTGGCGGTGCTCAGGGGACCACATGGGATGCCGGGAATCGAACCCGGGTCGGCCGCATGCAAGGCAAACACCCTACCCACTGTGCTACTGCTCTAGCGCCCCCTCTCACAATTCACACCTGCCTTCAAGCACACCCAACAAAGCAGAGTCTTCAGCCCTGAGGGTTTGCTGCTGGGGCAGTGAGAGTGAGAGGCCATGATGATGTGGAGAGGAGGAGCGGAGTGCCTCAGCCCTGCCTGGCAACTGAAGCAGGTGCCCTCTCCTCCCCAGCTGTAGGTGAGGCCAGGCCACACCTGGGCCCAGATACCCAGACGTCACTGAGCCTGGGTGTCTGTTCCAGATGTGCACCGAATGGGTGCACCTGTCTCCCAGATGTACACTGGGCCGGTGTGCCTGTCCCCCCCAGGTGAGCCTGTCTGTCTGTCTGTCCCCAGATGTGGAGCATCCACACGTCTGTCCCTGATGTGCAGGCAGTGGGGCAGGAGGTCCTCCTGGCTTCCCCCCCGCCAGGTGCAGGACGAGGGGCCACTGCTGAGGGAGGAGCAGAGACGCTCACATCTGCCCTGCCACCAAAGGGGACACCGTCTGTCAGGTCTGGCAGGCACGTAAGGGCAGTGAGCTCCCTCCCTATCGTCTCCAGTGGCACCAAGCAGACTTCTCAGCTGTTGCGTCACTCCGTCACTCCATATAGAGCTGCAGGAGCAGGGCCCTTTGTCAGGCACCGGCTGGCCCCCACAGCCCTGGAAAAACAGGGTGGCCGGAAGCACAGGCCACCCGCTGGGCTCCGGCCAGGCGCCTGCACACAGTTCAGTGCAGCTGTCCGCAGGCAGCCTTGCACACGTGCACACGTGCGGGCCACACAGCTGGACACAGCTGGACGGAGTTGGCTGCCTGGGCTCACTGAGCTCCCCTCTCCCACGCCTCTGCTCTGCGGGAGGAGAATGGGGGTGTGGGAGGGGCGTCCTCCTTTCCCAGGTCCAGCTGTAAGCAGAGCTGGCAGGGGGCCTTCCTCAAAGGAAATTCTCAGGATCTGCTCTGGGGGAGAGGCCCCTTCCAGGAGAGCGGCCGACATCACCCCTCCCCAGATCCCAGCCTCAGTGTGGACCTCAGAAAGGGCCCCTCCAGACCCAGCGCAGACCCCCATGCCTCTGCTGACTGCATCAGGACAGGGGCGACAGCCCTGGGAACTATCTCAGCCCTGGGACGCTCCTTTTTGTCCTACTTCCAGGGTTTGTGTCCAGGGAGCTGAGGTACGAGGAAGGTCCTGGGTCCTGATGACATCGTATGGGGAGCCAGGGATCAAATGGCGAGGAGACAAGTTTGCTCCCGGACCCAGATCTGGAGGCAGTTTGCTCCCAGACCCAGACTGGGAGGGTACCCAGTGGGTCCTCCAGCTGGAAACAAAGGCAGAGGGGGCTGTTGGCCGAAACTTCCCACTCTCCCGGTGTGGTGGGAGCTCCCGGGGCTGAGTTCCTCCCGGGGCTGGGGGTTAGGGACAAGCTTTCAAGGAGAAGCCAGCTCGCCAAGCAGAGGAGGCCTGCTGGCCTCAGAGTGACCTCTGGCTGGAGCCTGGCCTGTGACCTCCCTGCACTGCACCCCCACTGCAGCCTGTAAGGACTGCTGGGTGCAGGGCCAGGGAGTCCAGAGACCCTAGCCCAGTGTGTCTTTGGCTGCATGGGGCCCCAGGCCCGGTCAGCTCTAGGGAGAAGCAGGGAAGGCCAGTGTGGAGAGAGGGAGCAGGCGGGGCAGGAGGGAATGGACGGGTGGAGTGTGGGGATGGGCGGGCTCTGGAAAAAACCCAGAATTGTTTCCACCAATTCGGCCCTACAAGGGGACCACAGGCCTCGGGAGAGCAGAGTCCAGCCCTGAGTACACGGAAAGCACCTGAAACAGCACACTCCTGGCCTGGGGGGCTTGAATGGAACAAGCCGCTTCCACTCAGGAGGGAGCAGGCCCAGAGCAGGTGAGGGGATGCAGGTGCTAGGTGCCACGTGGCAAGGGGCAGGCCAGCAGCGTATGTGACACCACCCTCGCCTGCTACACAGAGTGGCCCCTGCTGGGTACTAGCACCCACACCAGCAACTTCCGCAGAGGCCCGGAGCCAGGCTGGCCTGGCGGAGAGGATGGGGCATTGCCTGACTGTAACCAGGCTGGCCAGACCAGGGAGCGTGGCCGCCCGGACCCCCAGCCTTGGGGCTGGGCAAAGCCAGGTTGGGCGGGTGCCAGACTCACTCCGACCCTGTCTGGGTGCCAAGCTGGTGAGGGCAGACAACACTTCCTTTCTCCACTCTTGGCTCCTGGAGGGGAGGGAAGGGCCCTCGAAGGCCCAGCTGGCCTGCAGCCAGGTCTATGGCCCTCCTGGGGGCTTCAGGGGAGGCCCCTGACCTGACTTCACAAGGCAGGGTGGGGGGAGGGCAGGAGAGGCCAGGCTGGGCCGTGAGGGGGGGGCGGTGGCTGGGGCAGGGGAGGGCCCTGAGTTTCCCTGACAAAGCAAGGGCGGGCCGGCGGGCGGGGGTCTCCTTCCTTCCTTCCGGGGGGCCCTCCCTGCACTTCTCCTGGCCCAAAGGTGGCGCAGAGGGAGGGACACACATACCTGTCTCAGTTATGCCAGGAATGTGGCTCCCCAGGCCAGGTCGGAGGAGGGGCCTTTCTGGGGGCTGGGGAGGGGACAAGGGGGGCAGGCTGTGGGAGAAACCGAGGACGAAGCAGAGCAGGGTCACCACCGGACCGAACTGACTGCAGAGATGACGCAGGGGCCGGTGGCAGGACCCTGTGAGGGGGAGAGGGCAGGGGGGCGAGGGACAGGCAGAGGCTGGTGCCGGGGAGGGGAAGAGCAGAGGGCGGGGGCGGAGTGGGGTCAGGGTCTGATGGGAAGGCCGTCCTTATCTCCCACCTAATGGGAGGGGGCCCGCCCTGGGAGGGGTGGGCTCAGGACATCCCTGCCCCCCAGCCAGGCTCCAGGTCCAGGGGACTCAGGCTCAGGCAAGCGCCCAGACCCCCAAAAGAAAAACCCTCCTCAATGGGCCCCACCCTGCCCTGGGGCTGTCCCTTGTCCTGTCCCAGTCTCAGTCCTTAGAGGACCCTGTGGGCCCACCCTCACTTAGGGTCCCTCCGGCAGACTCCTTCCAGCTGTCCCTCTGTTCAGCAGGCAGCATCCGGCCTGAGACAGGCCTCAGACCCCACAGACAGCCGGTCACAGGGCCACAGACTCAGCTGGGCCCACCAACCGCCTTCCCGTCTGCAGGGGTGGGGCTTTGTGGCCCCAGAGCCCTCCCCTCAGCAGCCGCTGCCAAAACTAGCCCCACAGAGCTTGCCCCATCTGCCACCCTGAGCAGGGGCCCTGGCTAAGAGGCCCTCAGGAGGACTGGGCTGGGGCCACAGTTCTCCACGGGGCTGCAGGCGGGACCTTGGAGGGTCCCCAGGGTCAGCAGTGCTGGGCAGGGTGTCACAGGTCCCACAGTTCAGGCTCACCTCCCCCACTGCCCACTGTCACCCTAGGAAAGGGCCCTGCATCACCCAGGACACCCAGAGGCCCAGTGGCACCTCAGCACTTCATGAGGGACAAGTTCACTGTTCTGCTGGCCACAGAGCGCACCAGACAGCAGGAAGTCTCGGACCCTCCCCACTGGCTATGCAGGAAAAGTCTCCCCCACCTCAGACATCCCTTCCCAGAACCTGTGGGGGGCAGACAGGATGCGGGTGACGACAGTTCCCACAGCTCCGGCGACACCCCCCACCAGGGACCTCTGCCCACTGCTGGAGCCATCCTGGGGGGAGGCCACCTGCAGGTCACGTAGACCAGGCAAGAGGGTGCACAGGAGGAGCGGACTCCACCGCTGCCCATACGACCTCCTGACCTCTTTCCCAGAGAACGGACTCAGGTAGGCCAGGCCCACTGTGCGCGCTCCCCGGAGTCTGCTTGGCATCTGGGCCCTAGACAGACTTTGGGGCTTCTGCTGCAGAACCCCCGATGCAAGTTCCCCCACAAAGGTCCCTCTGGGCTGGGAGGGAACGGGGGGGGGGTGACACTCTTAAGTTACCAGGCTAGGTGGTGTCACAGCCCTCCAGAGGGGAGTATGCAGAACTGGGGAGAGCGAGGAGGCTGGCACAGGGACAGGACGCAAAGGAATGCTTGCAGGTGGGGCCCACCAGCACTGCTGACCAGAGCAGACCTCGCTGTGTACCTGTCGACAGCCCCGGACATCCCAGCCCCGCGGCGCAGACCCACACACCTTCCACGCAGTGCTCCACCTCCTCCAGGTTCCGAAGGGTGATGCGCATGAGGCTGGAGTTGAGCATCAGCTCGTTCTTGTGGGCCGGCCACAGGTACGGGGGCGCAGGGTTCACAAAGAAGATGCGGGTGTCCCCCGTGGACACCTGATTGTCACAGATGAGGGGGTCTCCGAAGCCGCCGATCACCACCTTATTGCCGCCGTCCATCAGGCTCTCCTGAGTCACCACGTCTTTGCCCTTCAAGTACCGCCAGACGCGAACCTGGGGACACGTGGTGCATCAGGGGTGAGGGCGCTTTTTTTCCCCCTTCGGTGCTGGGGCAGGCAGGAGATGCTGAGAGGGGTGGGGTGAGATCTGGGCACCAGCTCCAGGAGGAGGCCATGGGGGTCTCACACATCCTGTTCACATCCCACATGATACTCTGGTCAACTCGCCCCTCCCCCAATTGCCCGGCCAGTCCAGTTCCAGGAATGACCATCTCAGCTCAGGATACTACGGGAAGGGGACCCATAGGGCGTGGGGTGCCGAGGGTCTTCCATGCCCCACCCCCCATCTGCCTACCACTAAAGGACCCCAGGCCCCACCCCTGGCAAAGCTGGGGGCAGACAAGCAGCAGTTTCAGGGCTGTGGGATCTGAGCTCCGGGCCAGCTGAACTCCCTGCAGCCGTGGGTGGGCTCAGCCACTTTCCCCAGCAGTGAAACCCCCTCTTCGCGCCAGGCTCCTCCAGGAGTGCGGGCAGAGCAACCTCACCACAAAATCAAGTTCGGGCAGCGCAGGGCGGACGCCCCACCCGCCAAGCACACTCTCTTGGAGCCTGAGGGCACCTGCTCTGACAAACTGTGCCTGGGACGCCCACAGTCTGCCCCCTGGTGCAGGAGCGGGTGGGGGCCGGGCCCCCAGAGCCTCCCAGGGATGCGTCCCCATCACAGCACGCTTGCTCCAGGGCCCACTTCTCAGGAGAGGCTCCTTCTCCTGAGCTCGGGCCAGCACTTCTGGGATGGGGGATGGAAGACAATGGTGCGGTGGCACCTGCCCAGCCCTGCGGGGAGCCCTTCCCCCCAGCTGGGTCCACCCTCTGCCCCACCAACACGCAGTGGCCGAGAAGGATGATAGCGGCAGCTCACCGCCTGCCCCCACCCCAGCCACACCCAGGAGCAGCGGGGAGGAAGTCGGGAAAATCCTGCAGGGACTTGGCAGAGTGCCCTGGTGCTAGGGAGGGGAAGGGGCCCGGTGGGGGATCCCGCCGCAGCCAGGCAGGAGGCCGCCGCCCTCCCATCCGCACCAGGACCAAGGTGCCATTTCTGGTGAGGGGGGCGGTTCGGTGCCGGGGAACCAGACCGGCATGAGCCCTGGGCCCCCGACCCTCACCTGGAGCTCTGTCCCGGGCTGAGCCGCGGGGCGCCCGAACAAACGCACCCGCGGAGCTGCCGGCGCCGACGTTGGAGAGGCCGGGCAGGCCCGGCGTCCGGCGAGGGGGGCCCTCCGGCCGCGGGGGTCCTTTCCCCTGCCCCGCCCCCACCCCGTCTGTGCCCCCCATCGCCCGGCCTGGGGAAGGAGGAGGGTAGAGGAGTCCTGGCCACGGCGCCCCGCCTCCACCCCGCACCGCCGCGTCCCGCTCGCTCGCTCGCTCTCCGGGGCGGACGGCGGGCGAGGGTCGCCAGAGCCGGGGGCCCCGGGAGGGTGGGGGACCGCGCTCGTGTCCCGCGCGGGTGGGCTGCCGCGGGAGTCGCGGCGCCGCGGGAACTTTCCCTCCCGCGCTCGCCCGGGACTTTTCCGGGGCCCGGCGCCCCCCACGGCGCCCGGCGGTCGCCAAGGGAGCGCGAGCGGCGGCGCGGATCCCGGGCCGTTCCCACGGCCGGGCGGGGGGCGCGGCGCGGCGGGGGGCGCGGCGGGACGGGGGGCGCGGCGGCGGGGCGGGGGGCGCGGCGCACCTTGCACGAGTACGTGTGCTGCACCGGGTCCACGTTGAGGATCTCCTCCACCGTGCCGGTGAGCACCACGTTCGCCTCCTCCTCCCGCCGCTCCAGCGCGCGCTCGGGGCACGTCCCGTGGGCGCGGGGCAGGGCGCGCGCGGCCACCAGCAGGAGCAGCAGCAGCGGCCGCGGCGGGGCCGGGCTGGCCATGGCGGGCCGCGGGCGGCGGACGGCGGGAGAGCGCAGGCCGGGCGCGCCGGGACGGGACTGGCCGGGCCGGGCCGCGGCGCGCGGAGGCGGCGGGCGCGCGGGCGGGCCGGGGGCGGGCCGGGGCGGGCCGGAGGCGGGCCGGGCCGGGGGCGGGCGGGGCCCCGCGGGGAGGGGCCTGTGGACGCCGCGCCCGCCCCGGCCCGCCCCCGGCCCGCGACCCGCGCCGGCCGAACAAAGCGCGCGGACCGCGGCGGGGCGGGGGCGCGGCGGGCGCGGCGCCCCTCCCCCGCGCCGGGCCCCTGCCTGGCTGGGCGACGTGAGGGGACTTCCAAGGGGTCGGCGCCCCCGCAGTGCGGACCGGGGCCGCGGGGATTGGCGCGAGCCCGGCGCGGCTCCGCGGCGCCCCCTGCCGGCCGGGAGCGCCAGCCACGCCCCCGCCGCGACCCCCGGGCCGAGGGGCGCAGGACAGGGGGCCCCTCCGGGAAGCGCCCCGGGGCCGGCCGGGAAAGGCAGCGGCTCCCGGACCGGGGACCGCGCGCGCCCGCCAGGTCGCAGGGGGACAAAGAGGCGTGGGTGGAATTCGGGCAGCGAGACGGGAGCTCGGAGAGCCCCCCCCCACGGTCCGCCGCGGCCCAGACACGGACCCCCATAGACGAGCGTGGGGGAGGGGCGGTCTGGGTGTCCGGGGCTGGACACGCCGCGGCCCGGCGGCGGGGGACGCGAGGGGCGGGTAGGAAGCAGCCTTGGGGCCGTCCCGGCCTGCACTGACCCACTGGCGCCCGGTGAGGCCCCCAATCCCCACCAGGAGTGGTCGCCGAGCACCGCGTGCACCCCCCCAACACGAACCCAGCCAAAGGGAAGCCTTGGAGCTTTATTGCGGTGTCAGGGTCTCAGGCCACGCCCCCACCAGCGCCCCCGCGCAGGTACAGGTTCATGTCCACGGTGGAGAGGTTCCTGAGGCCGTAGTTCCCCAGCTGCCTCCTGTCCTCCATGGATTGCTCCTGGAATTTGAGCCAGAACTGGTCGACCGGCACCCGCTCCTTCACGCTCACTTGCTGCTTGAGCTCCGCCACGGTCTGTGTGAGCCGGACGTCGTAGGACACGCTCTGGCCCCTGGTGTTCTTCACCAGGATGCTCAGCGTTCTGTCCTCCTCGACCACCAGCAAGACGATGGCGTCGGGGCGCAGGCCCTGGCTGGCCAGGCTCTGCCCGTCCCGCAGCACCGTGCCCTCGGGGTGCAGGACCAGGCGCTGCAGGAAGGCGGGCACGTCCGTCTGCTGCTGGGCCACCAGCTGCTGCAGCTCGCTCAGGGTGTCCACCAGGCGCACGGTGTACACCTCGCCGTTCAGTTTCTTTACCTTCACGGTATTCTGCGGGGGTAAGGGAGGGGTCCGAGGTCAGAGACTTGCCTGGGGCCCCAGACACTGCCCTGCCACCCCACCAGCCCACCACTGCCCACAGAGATGGACTGGGGGCATTTCTGCAAGAGACCAACGAGATGACCTCTGTCCAACTTTTTTTGGGAGGAAAGGCAGGGAGTGGGCCACACTCAAAGGTGCTCAGGGCTGACGCCCAACTCTGCACTCAGGAATCACTCCTGGAGGTCTCGAGAGACTCTGGGGGGTGCTGGGGATTAAACCCAAGCCAGCCAGCCCACTCGCTGTAACTATCGCTCCAGCCCTCCATGTAGTGACCTAAGATGCCCTTGGTGCTGACCCCAAGGGATGTGTGAACTGGACTCAGGGCAGAAGCCGCCTTTCCACACCCAGACCCTGAGCTGGGAGGGGTCCCTCCCTCCCTCCACCCCTGGGAGACAGGCAGGTAGACTCTGAGTCCCACTGCCCACCTGTCCTACTCACCATGGCTCAGTTGGGGCCTCCCCACTCGGACAGGTGCTCAGCTCCAACTCAGGCAGGAATGCCTCTGCAGCCCAGACTCAGCGCTTTTAAGGCCTGGGAGGGTGGGGTAAGACCAGCAAGTGCCACCAGCAGCCAATTGGGTTTTGGTTTCCAGTTTTGGTTTCAGTTTCCTTTTCCCACAACAGGCCTCTGAATGAACAACAGAAACAAAACTGAAAACTGGAAGCGTGAGGATCCCAGAGTTTCCACTTCACAGGGTCTCTCCAAGAACCCTCAGCCCAGGTCATCCTCCATCAGCTCCGGATGGAAAGTTTCACTTTCCATTTTACCACTTGGTAAAATTAGTGAACTTGGAAAACGTGTCCCAGGTCAGTTCGCAAATAACATACATCAGTGACAGTCCACACTTCTCAGAGATCATCACTTGGTTGGTCCTTTCTCCTTGCTGCAGGGAGCATAGGTTTACAGTTACACCCATCACAGTGCTCCCGAGGCACTCCCATTCCTCTGTGTTTATCTTTTTTTTTAATTTTTATTAGTGAGACACCATGAAGTACAGTTGTAGACTTACAAATTTTGTGCTTGGGTTTGTGTTTATCTTTAACTTCTCTTCTGTGCTCTGCTACCCCTATCTGTTAACCACCTATATCCCCAAATCAGACCCTGTGACTTGTCAGGTCAGATCCTTCTAAGGACTCTGGATTTTGTATTTGTAAGTGAAATATTGCTTTTCTCTTTCCCTTATGTCCTTTGCACAGATTACTTTAGAGCAATGCCCTTTTGTATAGATACAGGAAGACAGTTAATGCTACGCTTTAAAAATAATTTTTCAATTGTATATCTGTGAGATAGACCATTACAAAACCGTCTATAATTGAGTTTCAGTCATACAATGATCCAGCACCCATCCCTCCACCAGTGCATATTTCCTACCACCAATGTCCCCTGTTTCCCCACCACCATTCCCCACCTCCTGCCCCCAGCCTCCCTCTATGGGAGGCACTTTCCTTCTGGCTCTCTTCTTTTCCTTTTATGCATTATGGTTTGCAATACAGGTGCTAACTGGTTATGGTGTTTGTTCAGGGCATTTGGTATTTTTATCAGAACGGTAAGGCTGGAGTAGCTTTTTAATTGGGTGGAAGCTTCGGGTCATGGATGTGACTGCGGAGGCTTCCAGAAGTACAGGAAGGTGGGGGGAGGTACCCATCTCTTCCCTGAGAAAGCCTGGAGATTTCAGTCACAAAACCCACATACCAGAATTTTCAGCAGATTATATCTTGGTGAGACTGGTAGGGCTGGAGTGATAGCACAGCGGTAGGGCGTTTGCCTTGCACGCAGCCAACATGGCCGACCCGAGTTCGATTCCTCCGCCACTCTCGGAGAGCCAGGCAAGCTACCGAGAGTCTCTCGCCCGCGCGGCAGAGCCTGGCAAGCTCCCCGTGACGTATTCGATATGCCAAACACAGTAACAACAAAGTCTCCAATGGAGACGTTACTGGGCCCGCTCGAGCAAATCGATGATCAACGGGAGGGCCTTTACCTTACTATATCTTGGTGAGGTCTGTCCTGAGACAGTGGAGTCACGATGGGGTATGGTGGCGATTCTGGATTGTGGAAGGAAGTGGCTCCACTTGGGCAGGCCACCTGGCCAAACTACCCCCCTCCAATTTACCCCAGTCTGTTCAGTCATGTGTGGGTTCGAGATTAACTGTGGCTTTTGATCTCTTTTGAGATTTACCAATGGGTCTCTGAAATAAGGCCAATAAATTGGCCACTTAATTTTTTGGTAAACTTGGTCCCAAGTTGTTGGGGTCCAGACAAAGGCACAGGGACAATTTGGGGGTGTCAAGAAGCCTGAAGGCAACATCAGGCTGCTGATGCATTTGCCCTGCAGGTATAGGTTGGCCTGTTGGTGGCACCATACCGCTAATGCTATGCTTTTGTAACTTGGGAGTCAACTGACTGCGAATAATGTTTACTCCTAGGCATCTGCCATATTTACTCAACTTAAGCCTTAGTTTCCCTTAGATCCTAGCACCCAAAAAGGAGGATCCTGATGAGGGGGCTGGATGGATCCAGGGCAAGTGGTAATCTACTCTGGCATCGAAATGGAACAGGCCAACCGCCATGAAACTTTTAAGTTAAGAGAACAGTTATGGACAAATTCTGTCATGACCCAAAGAGAAACAACTGGATAAGGACCCCGCTGGGGTTAGGAAGGACTAATCAGGCCTGAGGACTCTAGACTGGGATCTGTAGTGATATGTCCCCACGAGAGTCACCCCTTAAGCTTAATATATCTCTTACTTTGTCCATACAAAATGACCAGAAAGATCATTAAGAAGTAAATTTAAGATAACCGTTTAAATGTATATGGACTGGGGCTGGAGCGACAGCACAGCAGGTAGGGCCTTTGCTTTGCACGCGGCCGACCTGGGTTCTATTCCCAGCATCCCATATGGTCCCCTGAGCATCGCCAGGAGTAATTCCTGAGTGCAGAGCCAGGAGTAACCCCTGTGCGTTGCTGGGTGTGACCCAAGAAGCAAAAAAAAAAATGTATATGGACTAAGGAAAGGAGAAATATGCCCTTAGATGAAATTCTACCCTTGAGCAGATCTGTGGGGAGACTAGCATGAGAGACAGTAGGAGACAGGAATGAGGGGCGGGGGGGGCACTGGAATGGGGCGTGGAGTGAGACTTGAATAGGTGCACAGGGAGAATGGAATAAACAGTGGGACCGAGAATGGAACAAACAGCAGCTGATCACCAACCAACCTGGCGGTCCTGTTCCCCCCCTCCATGTGTCTGGAGGTGGCTGTGGCAGCCGGCCGGGAGTGGGAAAGTGACTCATGGCCATTGAACACACATGATGAGCATGCCCTCACATTTTTATTGGATACAAAATAACCTTTGGTTTAGGACAGTATTTGTTCAGACTTAAATGAAAGACTATAATAAGGAACTCAGGAATTCCAGAGCAAAACTTGGAAAGACTACACACCTGGAAAATTTTCGCTGTGCAGCGGAGAAGAGTTCATATCTGCAGATCCCATGTCAGACCCGGGTTTAGTATCCATGACACAGAAAGGACCTGAAGAACTCTACAACAGAGTGATAAGAAACTCAATTTAGAGACCGGACCCACAGTCCAGCGGGTAGGGTGCCTGCCTTGCATGTGACTGACACGGGTTCGATCCCTGGCATCCCATATGGTCCCCTGAGCACCACCAGGAATAATTCCTCAGTGCAAAGCCAGGAGTAACCCCTGAGCACTGCCAGGTGTGGCCCCAAAACAACAAAAATAAAAACCTCAATTTAAAAAATAGGCAGTGAATTAAAAATCTTTCTCTATGGAACACAGACAAATGGTTAGAAGCACACAAAAGCAGCCCAACTCTGCTAATCATGAAGGAAGAGCCAACCAATGCCCCACAGAGGTACTGTGTCACACCAACTAGCATGGCCACACTATTATTTAACTTGATCACTTGATCACTTGACTTCCCGTTAATCGTCGATTTGCTTGAGCGGTTGCCAGTAATGTCTCCATTTGTCCCTGTCTTATGTTAGTGTAGCCCAATGGCTTCTGTTCATTCTAGGAACACGAAGAGCCTCAAACCGATCATTCTTACATACGATCATTTTTGTCTTCCTTCGTTGTGGCAATCTAGTTTGGCCTTGAGATTTTATCGGCCTCTCCTTTCTCATCCTTCTCAATGCTGCCATATTGGTGACGCCTTCAGGGTCAGGGGAATGAGACCCATTGTAATTACTGGTTTTGGCATATCGAATACACAACGGATAGCTTGTGAGGCTCTGCCGTGCAGGCGGAATACTCTCGGTAGCTTGCCAGGCTCTCCGAGAGGGATAGAGGCTTTTGGGGCGGCCTCTAATCGCCATTAAAAGGAACAATATCTGAGGCCCAGAGGGTGGCTTCATGCATAAAAGTGCCTGGCTTACACTCAATGACTCTTTTGCATACCACAGCACCCAAAAGGAGAGAGAGAACAAGGGGGAATGCCTTGCCTTGCCACAGAGGCAGGGTGGGATGGGAGGGACTGGGGGTGGGAGGGATACTGGGATCAGTGGTGGTGTAGAATGGGCACTGGTGGAGGGATGGGTATTTGATCATTGTATAACTGAAACCCAAGCACAAAAATGTGTAAATCTACAGCTGTACCTCATGGTGTTTCACTAATAAAAATCTAAATAAAAAAAAAGTTCCTGGCTTACAATATGAGGTCACGAATTTGATCCTCAGGGCAAGCCCTACGTGTCTGTCAAGGTCCAGGTCTGCGATCCCCTTTGCCCCCATGCAATGACTGATGTGTGATACCTGGCACGTAACCAGGTGAGCAATAACCAGGTGAGTGTGAATACCACAACTACAAGTGTGTGAAACCACACACACCCCAGCAGCCACTGCAACCAGAACTGTATGTATTAAAATGCCATTACTGTGTGCAATCCCTGATGGGCACTGAGGCCAAGTATGCGAGCCCCCAGTTTTCAAACAAACTTAACCAGGGCAGGAAAACCAGAACCCAAACCAGCAGCAGGGCTAATGAGGAGCGCCAAGGGGCACAGCAGGAAGGCAGCGGGCACCGTACCAGCAGCTGGAAGTGGGTGTGCACAGCCAGAACTTGGCAGCCCTCAAGACCCGGGGCTGAACTTTGCCCATTGAAATGCTATCACAGTAGCCAGATGGGCAAAGACGGGCAACACCCCCCCCCCATATACAACATACACAGTGGTGGGCCTCCATGTCTGGCCTGGAAGATAACGCCATCTTTTTCTTCCTTCTTCCCTCCCTCCCTTCCTCCCTCCCTTCCATCCTTCCTCAATTTTTATTTCGGCACTCCGAGTTACAACATTATTAATAAAGGTTTCAGGCATATAATGCTCCCCACACCAGAGTGTCAGCATCCCTGTACCAATGTCTCAAGGCTCTTTCCCACTCCCCCGCCCCCCCCATGGTCAATTCAGCTCTGTAAGGTGACTCTCAGGGTCTGTTACCAGTGGCAGTGTGTCATTCCTCTATTGTGCTTCTTTACATTCCACAAATGACAAGGATTCT